TTTGTCCTTATGCATAAACAACCTAAATTTACATTATGGTCACTGTTTCCAAAATGCTCCCCCACCGAAACTTCGATCACCTGGCTGGGCTCATTCCATAATACTAGCTCTAACATGGTCCCTTCCCTTGTTGCACTATTTACATACTGTTTAATGAACCATCCTGGACACATCTAACAAATTGCATCCACTCCCCCCCTCCCATCCAAGGCAAGTTGGAGGTGGCCTGCTCCATGCTCTTTGATAGTAACAATAGTCTTTTGAGTGAGCCTGATAATAAACCAAACATTTCTGTGGGCATGCCACACCATCACTGTCCACATTTGTGTCCTTTGCAATAAAGCCCACCCTCTGAATAACTGACATATGCAATCTTTTCCCTCATCCCTCTCTGTAGTCCACACTTGCCCAATGACTTTATGCCTGACTGCTTGCCAGAGCACTCATGATCACTCTAATGGCTTCTAGCATCATGTATTGGTGAGGACATTAATCTCTACCAAGCCCTACTTGGCAGCAGTTGCTGCCTCCAACAATGTGCTGCCTTACAGTGCAAGAAAAAGGAAGATTTTTAGTGAGTGTGGTGTAATATCCTTGACTGGTATACTTGAAACAGTTTATGCAAGATATTGGTTACGAGTAAGGTGGTTTAAATTGACATAAAGTGTGAAGGTGAGGTAAGACGATGAAATGTGAGGTATAAATTGTAGTCAATAAGGGTAGTTGGTAGTTGCGTGATGGAGCTGTTAAATAGAACAGTGTGAGAGGCTGCAGTGAGTGGTACGATTATGCATGATTAACCTTGCCCAGGTCAATAAATGTCTGTGCCATTGCATTCATATTCTAAGCATACTACAGATGGAAAGTCATTGACCTGAGATATTACCTTTTCTTGTCTCTACACAGATACTGCTGTACCTGTTGAATAGTTTAGCATTTCCTATTTGTTTTCAGATTTCTAGTATTCACAGAATGTTGTGTCAGTACACATAGTGCACTTGAACTTTAAGTAAAGCATGTTTGCCTTTTACCAAATGCCTCACTGCTCGGGCATGCAGCCATAAGACCATAAGACATAGGAGCAGAAATTAGGACATTTGGCCCATTGAATCTGCTCCGCCATTCAATCATGGCTGATAAGTTTCTCAACCCCATTCTTCTGCTTTCTCCCCCTTAACCCTTGATCCCCTTGATAATCAAGAACCTATCATTTCACCTTAAATATACTCAATGACCTGGCCTCCTCAGCCTTCTGTGGCAGTGAATTCCATAGATTCACCATTCTCCTTATCACCATTCTAAATGGTCTTCCCTTTACTCTAAGCCTCTGCCATCAGGTCCTAGTCTCTCCTACCAATGGGAACATCTTCCCAATGTCCACTCTTTCTGGGCTGTTCAATATCCTGTAAGTTTCAATTAGATCTCCCCACAACCTTTTAAACTCCATTGAGTATACACTCAGAGTCCTTAAATGTTACTCATATGTTAAGCCTTTTATTGCTGGGCTCATTCTTGTGAAACTCCTCTGGACCTGCTCCAGGGCCATTACATCCTGCCTGGGGTTTGGGGCCCAAAATTGCTCACAATACTCCAAAGGTGGTCTGACCAGAGCTGTTTAAAGCCTCAGAAATACATTCCCGCTTTTATATTCTAGTCCTTTCGAAATAACTGCCAAATAATGTTAAATGCAAATAAAAGCCATTTAATAGTATATTCAATGTTGGGCTGCAAACTACAATCATCAAAATTTGGCGACTGCATGAAACTTGCATGATTTCTGCATTACTTTGAGTGGTTGTGGGTTAGTCTTGTATTCTCATCCTTAGAGTTGAGGGACTGTACAATTCAGCCCTTTGATGCCAATTAAATAACGTCTTAAAAAATATTTTCTTGGCACTTGAAGACAATCAAGAATGTTCCAGAAAACCACATGACATAAATAATCCAACCTAACCTTTAACTATATTCTTCAACTTCAGATGCCCTTTCCCCACAGGAAGTTCTCTAGAATCTATTTGATGGACCAGAGTTAATTCCTGCTTGGTAATGTGTTCCAAAGGTTGAAGACATTCTGTGGAAATGGGATATTTAATGACATCTACCCAAAATATTGGCTTTTACATTTTATATTAGTGTTCCTATCCATATTGGGAACAGATATTACTTTGAACTATACAAAAACCAAAAGAACTGCAGATGCTGTAAATCAGAAACGAAAGCAGAAGTTGCTGGAAAAGCTCAGCCGATCTGGCAGCATCTGTGAAGTGAAATCAGAGTTAACATTTCGGGTCCAGTGACACTTCCTCAGTTCTTTATATTAAAATTTATCCTTTTTATCAAAATAAAAACTTCAAGCAAAGTTGTTTTATTTTGTACATCCTTGATACAAAAAAATCTTAAGTCTGGATGTCTTTTTGATCAATACTTTAATTCTTGTGAAGTGTTGGATTAAAATCATGCATAATCTTGAAATGCAGCCCTCAAATTCTATTTTACATTCATCCACTGACGTGGATGGTTATGGCAGGATTAGGTTTATTGCCATTTCTGGCGAGTTACTATCTTTAACGGCTTCAGGTTGTGGAGTGAGAATACTCTTGCCAAGATTTTAATGCTCTGGCAGTTTAGTACAACTCACGCTATTTCAGAGCTGGGTTCAAATATAGGTGTTTTGGTGAGGCCAGGGAAATATGGCTAATTTTCTTCTGTAACAGACACGAATGAAATAAGATGGGTTTATTTTGATAATTTGATTGTTTCATGTTCACAATTACAAGTGTCACCTTCTTATTCCTGATTTATTTAATTACCAGATTTTAAATTCCCCTTCCACCATGAAGGAATTTTACCTCATGTCTTCAAATGCATTTGTTTCGGCCTTTGGATTATTTAACTACTCACATCCTTTTTGTACAAATCATATGCTTTTATAACGCTATTGACAAGCTTATGAAAGTTATGCAAATTGGCTGTCATTGCAAAGACATGACAGCAATGTAAAATTCTTCAGTGAGATCTTATCACTTGCAAGACAGAATATACTTCTACATTACTGCCCCCTAGTGCTCATGAATTCAGGCCTTTTTCTTGTCTGTGTCAATTTTCTTCAAATTTTTTTTCAGTCCAAACTAGTAACTGAATAGCTGCAAAGAAGTGACAGAACATCCATCAGTTTAAATGTACAGCATACCTTAATGACTGCCCTCAAAAATTCCAGATTCTTTCAGATAGGTACCAAAATATGATTGCACCCTCCACCTTTAGTCAACTCCTGGAATGCCATGAACCTGTTGCGATCTGTCTGTATTGCCGTAGTAATTTGGAATTTCAGTCTTGCTTCTACATTATTTTTGAACTCCAGGAGCCAAAGAATTCGGGAGCACACAAGACATTTATTCTCCTTGTGTTTGAAACAGACTCATTACTTTAAATTATATAAATGCGTGACTAATTAAGCAAGGCTAAATTCAGACTTTTCACTAAATAAAAACCGAAAGACTGTGGATGCTGTAAATCAGGAACAAAAACAAAGTTGCTGGAAAGGCTCAGCAGGTCTGGCAGCATCTGTGGAGGAAAAAACAGAGTTAACGTTTCGGGTCACGGCAGCATCTGTGGAGGAAAAAACAGAGTTAACGTTTCGGGTCTGGTGACCCTGCCAGAATTGCTGAGCTTTTCCAGCAACTTTGTTTTTGTTTCAGGCTTTTCACTAATTTGGCGAGCCTAGTATGATTGGAAAGGAGGGAAAGAGAGTGGGACACAGACAGACTGTTATGGATGTTCATTTCAGGGGAAGAATAAGGGTCAAAGAAACCATCTAAGATTGTATCAGAAGGACTGTTGGAACCAGTAATAGTTGAAGCAGAACCTGTTGAAAAATGCAGGTGTGCTGGATGAGAGCTAAGACTTGCTTCAGACAAAGAAAGAAGAAATGTTCTGGAACAAAAAATGTGTAAATCTGGTTCTGTTGCAATAGTGAATAACAGTTTAAGTTTAATAGCTCGATGATACAATGTGGTTTACCTATTTACTGAGCGTATATAAATATTAGTTGGATCCTGAAAATAATAGCTTATTTTTTTCTCAAGCTTGTTATTTTGCCATTTCGGCCATCACCAATGACATGTAATTACCTTAAACTGCCTGAAGTTGTCTACAAGAAATTAAATGGAAACTTAACTGTTCAAAAATACTCCAGTGCAGCAGTGAAATATTCGAGAAACCATGATTTTACTTCCATTTTAAGATAAATCTTTCAGCATGAATGGACTCACTTCTCTTCCTCTCCTATCATCTATCAGATATTTCTACTGAGTTCTGGCAGTGGTAATGTGTCATTCTTAAAAGAGGCTCAAAGCCTTTATTTGACTGTTTAATTCATTCTAAATTCCTTAATATAATTTTCTACAATCTTAACCTACAAATAAAAAGACGAAACACTTTGAGTGGGTTAATGACCAGAAAATTGTGTTGGTTCAGAACAGATTTTTGTAATTCCCTCCAGGTAATTAAGTCAGCATTTTTTGACAATTCATGTAAAAAGATAGTATAACCAGGGCGATATATTCCTTGGCTATTGTTATTGATTCTACTTTATGTTTGCTGCTGGACTAAGCTCTTACCTTGCATTTTTTAATTTGGACTATGTTATTCTTACTTAAATGGAGAAAAACAACACATCCTACATTGTCTTTAAGACACTGGATGATGAATACAAAAAATGCTGCTTTCAGATAGATAATTCATGATGAATTAAACTGAAATGTTGCACCAAAATAATTGAAAATAAATGCAAAGAAATTTGGAACATTTTACTTTAGAAGTTGATAAGAAAATTAATTTTACACCTTCTATAAAAAATCTGCCTGTCAATTACAATTGGTAAAATTTTAATTACTGAATACAATTATTCATTTTCATTTCCTCATTCCATTTGGGTATCCAGGAACTGATCTGCAATATAAAAATGAGGAGCTTGAGTAGTCAGCACCTGGTCAACTAGAATGACATTGCGTTACTAGTTTCACAACAAACTAGTACAATGCAACACACTGTTTTAATAGTAATCTGGGCTCTTGCCCTCTTTCGAGGTAAGACTTTTCACATATTTCAACTATAATGCGTGTTTTGTTAATGCGAATTGGCTGTCACACAACTTATGAATAGTGGACGCTGTTTGGATAATGCAAACTTTCTGCTGTACAGTACAGCGATTTTCTATAGCGATTTCCATATAATGCGATTTTCTATGGTGATTTTCTATAGTACGATTTCCTATAGCACGACGTCAAGCGAGAACACAACAATTGTGTTATAGGAGAATTACCTATACTAGATATGTTTGTACATGTGTATAAAATGGAACACAATCAGTATCAACAGCTAAGGAGCGAAGCTTGATAGTTTTACAATATTTGCTTGTTTCAGGGTGTATGTGTATAAAATATACTCATTGAGTCATTGTGTATGGGAATGCATGTCACCCAAGGGTCTTAATTTACTCATTAATTTCTTTCATTATTTACTGATAAATTGTTGATGGATATGTAGAAACATGTTTGCAGACAGCAATTGAAAACCTGTAGTTCTTTTGGCACAGTACTCACCCTTTATACTTCTCATGCTTATCTTGAACAGTTACCTAGATTGGGCAAATAGTGGTTAACACCTGCATTTGACGTAGGTACTAATTACAGAAATAACACACAACTTTTACAGGTGCAGGATCATTCTGACAGATCCAGTAGCTTCAATTAGCTGTTTAAATCTTTATTTACCTGCATTTACCTTGCTGATCCATTTGTCTTAATTCTTTCACAGATTTCAGCTGCCTCGGTCAGGTAGCCCCATTGCCTTAAGTTCTATCTTTTTCTAATGTTGTGAACCTTGGCACCTGTTACCAGCCATTTTTTCCAATGTGTTGAGCTTCCACAGATCTCAGGCTGTGAGATGAGGGATGCACCTGAACACCCGTCTTAAATGCTTTTACACTGGCTTTGCTTTTGGGAGGATGCATCTTTTTGTATCCGTGTAATTATAAGCAAAGACTTAAATTTTCTGATTACACTATCCATTGTCTATAGCGGACAAAATATAATAGCTGCAATGTGCACATTAAGTTTGCACTCTGTGGTAGTAACTAATTTACTATTTCAGTCAATAAAAGAGAAACTATTTACTTAAGATAACAAAAATTAAGCTTATATTATAATTCAAAGTAATTGAGTCTTCAAGTTTAACTATAATTTCCTTTCTTACATTATGATTCAAAGTTTCAATTAACTTAAACTATTGTAAGTTCTTAGATGTCATAGCTGTTTTTACAGCTTGTTAACAATAAATTTAATGAACTTTTATTGCCAAAAGACGTTTCTAAATGTTAGTTCCTGAAATTCACTATTGAATTTTCTTCTAAGTCTTGTAGAATTGATAAAGACCAGACGAAATGTATTGTGTTTAAACAGAGCTAGAGAAAAACAAGTTAGTTGAAACGTCATATGTACACCTCACCACATAAAATATAAATTAATTTGTTTTTTTAACACTGTTTGGAGAATTTTATTGAAAAGAAATGACATTTAAAATACATGTTCTGTTTGTCAGTTTAAGAGTAGGAAATTTTTGCTTTTTGTTTTTTGACGAAATGCATTTTGTTTACTTTTAACCCTTTGAAAACTTTGAATGCATGGAGTAATGTGGGCGGGTCAGAATCTAAACCTTAGATATGTTTGCACTATTGCTATATGACTGCACAACAGTAAACAGGTACAACAATACCATAGCTCTTGTGGTCAGCTGGCGGGAAACCAGATTTGGGAAACAGAAAGAAGATCAAATCTGCTTCCAATTGTTGCATTTATTTAAGGAACAATTCTCTATTTTCCTGCTATCAATAAATTTAAAATCAATTTTAACCAGCTATAGTGAGCAATCAATGATCCCAAGAGTAAATAGAATGTTGTTAATTAATAAGTTAGTTGCATTAGAAACCCAGTCCAGTACTGCAATGTATTCTTCTTTATTTTTTCATGGGATGTGGGATCACAAGCAAAGCCAGTATTTGTTGCTCATGCTGAATTACTCTTTAACTGAGTGCATTGTCATGGCTATTTCTGAGAGCAGTTAAGAGTTACCCACATTCTGTGGGTCTGCACTGACCTGTAAACCAGCCCTGATCAGGAAGGTAGATTTCTTTCCATAAAGAACATTGGTGAACCAGGTGGGTTTTATACCAGTAATAGTTGTCATCATGACCTAAACTTATAACTCTAGTTTTACTAATTGGTTTGAATTCCAACATCTATTTTGAAGTTATACTCCACTTTCTGCTATGGTTGGATTTGAACCTATGTTTTCATAGCATTAGCCTGGGAATTTGGATTACTAGTCCTGTGGAATTATCACTAAGCACTGTCCTTCAATTTAACATCAGGATGTTGATACAAATGCAAATAAAACAATAATTCTAATGAAATATTGTTTCTTTCTCTTCTCTTGTTTTCCATTTCCTTTCTTCTTTTCTATCATTGTTAAATGTTATTTCTGAAAAACGAGAGTAGGTTTGTTTCCCAGCCTTACAGTTTTACCTTTACCACTTTGAAAATGGTAATTTGAAAACTGGGAAAATGAGTTGGATAATTACTTTGACCATCCCTTTCTCCATGAAGTGAAGTGTCAAGCTTCCAATTTACCTATTTGGTGTTTCAAACTCATCATGTTGAGATTTGAGCATGCTGATCAGTGCTACTATTGTTGTTTAATGGAAGTCCTACCTCAAAACTAAAACATTTTTGGTAGGAATTCTGTGTTACTTGTTGCATCAAGAGTATTTGATCAAAAGTCCTTGTAATGTTAATGTACATTCCGTAAGCATTGTAGACCAGCTGTAGGGTTAACATTGTGTTTAACAATAAATAATGTTTGTTAGTTGGACTTGTAATGAAAGAAAAGTTTGGAATCACAACAGCAGCGGACTTCTGGAATCTATAAGCGCAAGTTAGGGCAATTAATCTCTCTATTGTTCGACCTGCTATGAAACAAGCAGATGTGACAAGTCATATCTTCTGATAACTAGTGGAACATACCCATTCAAAGAACTTACAGAAGCTTTAAAGCATTACATCTTGGAGATCCTGAGAGCTTTTATGGTCTAAGAAACTGGGTGCCATTGTTGTCTCCAAATTGACCCCAAAGTCTGAAGACCTGTGGTCATTACATCTATGTTAGATTCACTAACGAATTGAAAACTCTGTGTCATAAAATATGGCAGCAAATGTTTCTGATGCCATTATTTGCTCCAGTGGTATGGCATTGTATTGAGTTCTTAGAACATGTTGGCATTCAGGAATCTGTCTCTGGTGCTCCAAGATGGTATTCAGCATCTCAATGTGAGTATGATACTCATCCTGGTTCAAAACTGGACTGAAACTGATCCTTTCTTTTCAGGTCAAGATTCCTTGGAAACTTCTCAGCACAGCACTAGCCTCTGGAACCAAAGACAGTCTAACTTAACTGCTGTGCAAGAAGATCCTTTGGGGACTTTCTTGATACTTGCATTTAAGGCCCACAAGTAGTCCGTTTGCAGCCAATTTAGGCCATCAATTTGCTACTGGCCAGTTTGCCTGCCTACTAACAGGCGAGAAAAATGGCTGATTTGCTGATGGGAAACTTGGGTAGCCTGCTGGCCATATTGACAAGAGGGAGCCTCAATTTGCACAAATCCGTGGACAGGACAGGAGCCAAGGGGTGTTATCTGAAAGCCAACCCTTGTCCCAGCTTTCAATTCCCCTGAACATCTCTCCCTGCAATCCTCACACCATGAGTAACTAAAGAAAACCACTTAGATTTTTCTGTTGAGTTCCCTGAAAAATAGGCCTTAACCAACAGTCATTAAGTTCCAAAAGCTTCCAGCATTTGATTGGCCTACGGTACATTAAGAAGCTCACTCGGCAGCACTTAATAAGCTGATTGGCTCAGAATCTGTTGAATTTATGAGGTGGTGGAATTGATGAGTTAGATGCCATTGAACATGCCTGCTCCTAGACTTGGCCTACAAGTTGAAAATCATTACTGTTAAATTTATGCCAAAATGGTTAAATTACAAAAAAGAAAAATAAAGTCTTGACTTATATTCTAAATGAGTAGATTTGTCTTGTTTGTTTCAATAAGCAAAAAATTATCTCTTTTCTATCCCAGGTCATGTTGCTGCCAGCACATGGGCTAACCAAGACTATGCAGAATCCACATTTGGTAAGTTTACATTAAAAAGCAGTACAAACATTTCTATGATATTCTACCTACAACTAATGCAAAAGGTTAGGTATAACATTTATTAATAAAGTTTGGAAAAGTTATTAACACTACCATAAACTGATGACATTTTTCTTAAATTTGTATGTTGGCTACTGACTCTAAAGAATAATTGAGCCTAATTTGCCTGTTTTATAAAAACCATAATTATGATAATTCAAAGTTCTGTTTTTGACTCTTTAGTTTATGAGTTTGATTTAAAATTGAAAATATACATTCTTCTGTCTAAATTTCTTCATGGCCTGGTCCTTTTTTATTTCTATACACCCGTCCAATATGACATTCTCCCACAATGTTTTAGGTTTTATGCAACCAAAACAAAATGAAATAGCAATACTACAAATCTGTTAAATACAATATTTTTGTTAACAAATTATAATGTCCCCAAAGTCCAGAATATTTGGGACCAAGACATTTTTGAGTTGTGGAACTTCCTTAAATAAAGAATAATATTCGAATGTCTAACTATAAGTGTGTAAACCAGATATAACCATGTACTTTAGACATAAACAATGACAAAATATTATAAAGCGCTGATAAAATATGTTTAATTCATTAAAAAAATGGTCAGGATACCCTGGACTTGCTCAAATGCATTGCATTAAATGAATTGGATACAGTGAATGATGTGTAACATGGGTTGGGGTGTGAACAGTGATTATTGTTCAAGAAAATGCAGCATGACGTTACAGGACCCAGAATTAATATATCAATAAGCCCAGTCAGGAGAAAGTAGAGTAACGATAAACATTCAATATTAAAAAACTGAGAACAACGTCTTTTCACATGAAGATTGGTATCGTGCTAACAGTATGAAAGCTTTTGATTTTAAATTTCAATTCCTATTTAATTATTCAAATTTTCTTCTTCCATCATCCATTCTCTCTCTCTCTCTATCTTTCTCTCTCATTTCATGATTCATTGCAGCACTGCAAGTGGCAAGTCTGAGATTTGCAGATACTGTTCAAAAAACTTTGTGTAACCATGTTTTCTGGATTTCAGATTTCTGGATTGGAGAAGTTATGGTATATAATATTTGCTGGTTATTTCATTGCAGTTAGTTGTTTTTAAGGAAAGTTGATTATAAGAATCTAAAAGTAATATTTTGAAAATAAATTCCATGATTAATGCACTCCAATTTAAATTTATAATTTTGCACTAGATCTGGACCAGGCTGTTCTTACCCAAGTCTTCCATAAGCGATCATTGGATGATTCTCGCCAATCACCAGTGAATCATCGTGAGTACATTATCTTGGATATGCTTCATTGGCCAAATGTATTTAAATGCTAAATGACATTAAACCTACCAAAGCAAAAAACCTCAGTTTTTGTAACTTAGGGAAATGTTGTTTTGTTCCAGACACCTGCAACACATGGGGAGGAGGAGCATTGAAGACATTTGCCAACAAACTTTTCTACTTTAAATCCACCTGTGACCTTTTCATGAGCAGATCATGCAAAGGCCAAGTTGATCAATATGAGGTGAAAATCCGCAGAGGGCCAGATGGAAATCTGGAACATATATTCATCAAAATTGAAATGACCAAGATTGTTCTGGCAAATGGGACAATTTGGGTTAAAGACCAGATGTAAGTTCATTTCTGTGGGATAATTCCTTTGGTTATAATTACAAGTCTTCAAGAGAACTATTACTTGTTGTATATTTACAGTTGTTACCCTGCTGGCATCTAACCTGCTCATATATTTAGTGGAATTTAACTTTAAAATGACTGTAATGTTGTTGCAAAGAAATCAAAAAGCTGATTGAAGTAAGGAATAATATACCATTTCCTCTGTCAATAAAAAAATCATTAACTAGTCAGTAAATTCTTTAAAAACTTCAAAACATGTTGCTACAAAATTGGTAACTAAGATCACTACTCAATGGAACAGTTGCTTACTTCAAATACTCCAGCAAGTCTGTCAAACATGATTTCGTTTTCCTTTAATAAATCCACTCTGACTTTGTGTAATCCTCTTGTTATTTTCTATTTTGTCCTTTTATCACATCCTTTATTGTAGACTCAACACTATTCCTTTTACTGATGTTAGGCTAATCCATCTATTATTCCTAATTTTCTCCCTCCCTCCTTTTTTGAATATTATTGATAGACTTGTCGCCCTCCAATCTGTAGGGACTGTTTCAGAATCTACAGAATTTTGGAAGATGACAAGATTTTTTCCATGCCACCTCTTTTAGTACCCTGCGATGTAGATTTTTGGGCTGTGGGGTTTTATTGGCCTTCAGTCCCATTATTTAGTAAGTTATTTCTATTTATTAGGTGTGTTTTATTTTACCCATCTTAAGATTATTTGAAGATGTCATAACATCATAGAGTTTTACAGCACAGAGAGAGGTCTTTCAGCCCATTGTTTCTGTGCTGCTCATCAAACATCTATGGACTCTAGTTCCATTTTCCAGCTCTTGATCAAAGGCCTTGTATGTTAAGGTGCTTAAATTGATCATCTAAATACTTTTTAAATGTGATGTTTCCTGCTTCAGCTAGCCTTTCAGGCAGTGAATTGCAAACATCTACCACTCTCTGGATGAAAAAATACTTCCTTAAATACCTTCTTATCCTCCTCCCCTTTATTTTAAATCCATGCCCCTGGTATTGATCCCTCTACCAAGGGGAAACATTTCTTCCTATTTACTCTATGTATGCCTCTCATCATTTTAGCCATCTCTGAACAGCCATCTCTGTTCTAAGGAAAACAACCCCACCCTATCTAATTTCTCCTCATAGCTGAATAGCCCAGTCAACATCCTGGTGAATCCCTTCTGCAATCTCTCTCTCGAGTGCAATCACATTTTTCTCATTGTGTGACACACAGTACTCCAGCTGTGGTCAGAATAACATCTATTATTATCCTATTATTTTTAGACTTCTCTGAAATTTGTGCGCATATCTACCCTTTTGTCTCTCCTGACTGTTTGGGATTCCATGGTACATTCCTGACAATCATTGCCCCATTTTGATTTATATATTCTAAATTGGTTAAGTCATTTCAGTCATTTCATACTGACTTTCCCCTGTTGCATCAGGAGTCAGAGGTGGTTTTGGAAATCTGCAGTGTATGGAACAGTCCTCCCTTATTATTTTACTTCGGGCGGGCTATTAATGACAAAAAGATGGACTTGCCATTCAATTAAGGATGGAATGTGGGGTCTTGTAACTGTAGGACTAAACAAAAGCTAACCAACTTGAGAGGAATAACAAGCTGCAAAAGAAGATAAATGAGTGAGAGGGATAGGTTCCCTCTTTCCGACATTTTTAAAGGTGAATTACAAAAATGTTTTTGCAGCTAGTGTCAGTGATGAGTGTTAGGGGATTACGCTCGGTTCGCAATAAACAACTGCACCTCCCAGTCGCGAACCATTTCAACTCCCCCTCCCATTCCTCAGATGACATGTCCATCCTGGGCCTCCTGCAGTGCCACAACGATGCCACCCGAAGGTTGCAGGAACAGCAACTCATATTCCACTTGGGAACCCTGCAGCCCAATGGTATCAATGTGGATTTCACAAGTTTCAAAATCTTCCCTCCCCCTACCGCATCCCAAAACCAGTCCAGCTCGTCCCCGCCTCCCTAACCTGTTCTTCCTCCTACCTATCCCCTCCTCCCACCTCAAGCCGCACCCCCATTTCCTACCTACTAACCTCATCCTGCCCCCTTGACCTGTCCATCCTCCCTGGACTGACCTATCCCCTCCCTAACTCCCCACCTACACTCACCTTTACTGGCTCCATCCCCACCTCTTTGACCTGTCTGTTTCCTCTCCACCTATCCTCTCCTCTATCCATCTTCTATCCGCCTCCCACTCTCTCCCCATTTATTTCAGAACCCCCTTCCCCTCCCCCATTTCTGATGAAGGGTCTAGGCCCAAAACGTCAGCCTTTCTGCTCCTATGATGCTGCTTGGCCTGCTGTGTTCATCCAGCTCTGCACAGTGTTAGGGGACTGATCTGTAACACCTGGGCAGGCAGGGAATGCCCTCTGGACCTACCTGGAGCACTGGCCACCTGGTCCACTGCCTGAAGGATGCTACAAGACACCTGAACTCGCCTGTTTGTCTGCTGGAAGTTAACTGGAAAATCACTTGGGCCTCCTCTAATTGGCCCAAAGTAGCCTTACTGAGCTGTGTTGGCTACCTGGACCAGGCTATTTTCACCTCCTGGTCATTTTCACTCCCAGCCAAGACAGAGGGTTCAAAATTCAGTTTTTGGTCTCAGCTATGCAGTTTAGAGAGACTTGTAGCAGATCCAGTTTAGAACAGATAAAGATGGCATTTTTATTTAAACTGCCTTCATATTGTCCATGTGGGATTTGAGATTGTGTTTGAATAATTCGCTTAGCAACATAACTGCTGTATCTCCAGGCACAGGATGAAAATGAACTAAATTATGGTGGATCAATACATAGATTTATGCAATGTTACACAAAATGACATTTTTACCATATAACTACGATAGGCGAACTTTGCCATACGATGACAAGATGGTCAATATCCGCAGCAATGGGGTTAACATCAGAATTGCAAACAAGAAGCATTCTGTATCCTTGATTTGGAACAAGAAAGATGCATTGTCGGTGAGATTTTCTTTTAACTGTAATACTTGTATTTATTTTAATTTTTCATGCTGGAAATCAAGTATGTTATGATGCATGCTATTGCTTGATTCTATTTCAACAATCCAATCATAAACAGAGCATCCCCACCCTTGACATCCCTTCCTTCACTTGTACAGTGACCCCAGGAGTTCCTGAGAGATTGAAGCTTGTTTACCTCTCCTTGGTCACGACAAACATGAGATTAACCTCCATATCTTTGCTGACAACACCCAGATCCACATTTCTACAATTCTCTTGACATCTCTACAGCTTTTAATTTTCAAACTGTTCACTTGACTGTCATGCTTGGATAAGATGCCATTTCAGTCAGTTATTAAAAAATTATCCCTGCTGGTCCCTGTGGCAAAATGACAGCTGCCAATATCATCCTGATTCCTAAATTTTTATCCTGAGTTGGTGAATGGTCTTGACCTACCTATGGAAGGAAGTAAATATGTTCTATAGAGCTTAAATGTTTATGGGTCTGCTGACGTCAGCACCAATGCATTTCCACCAACTTTTCCAATGGCAGGCTGCAACCATTGAGAATAAGCTGTCACTGGTAAATTACACAAGAAAATACAGGATTTTGTTCTTGGGCAGTTGCTGACTGACTCAAAGACACAAATTGCTGGAAAAAATTAAACAGGTCTAGCAGCATCTGTGGAGAGAAAGCAGAGTTAACGTTTCAAGCCCAGTGACCCTTCTTCAGAATGGAGATAGGTTCGAATGGGTGAGGCTGGGAGCAGAGAAATTGAGGCGACCACATTGACAGTTCTCGATGGTTGAGTGCCGTAAAAGAGCAGAGGGAGGGGTCCAGATGGAGTGTTGGCGGTGAGTAAAGACATCTGTGGGACGGGGACAGGACTCATGTCCAAAGAACTGGGCACAGAGGTGGAAGCAATGGAGGAAAAGTTCAACATTATGTCATGCCTGAAATACATTAAGATGGGGACGCAGATGGATAAAACTGAGATCTTTGCTGAACACAGAACTTTCAGCATCAGAGAATGGAAGTCAGAAGGGAAAGTAAATACTTGATAGGAGGTGGGGTTGGAGAGGGGATGAAGTATGAGGAAAGGTGAAGGGATGATGGTTCCAGAAGGAAGTGGATATCTCTGAGTTGTTGCATCTTGCATTCCTTAATGCTTGAAATGAAAAGAGAAAGATTCTTGTTAGAACGTTGAATGAACCAAAAGACAGAGTGGAACTGAGGGGGCAGCTCTGGACCAGTGTGAGGTGATGCTGTTGGAGAGAGAGTTTGGGAGTGTGTATTTGTTGGCACATAGCACTGAGTGTGGATATCAGGATGCGGCTGTCTGTGGAGCGTTGTATATCACGAAGATACAAAACACAAAGGATGAAACGTGAGTTAGAATCCACATGGGTAAGTCTGAGTTAGAGGCAGTCACTGAGGAATGTGATGTGGCTGTGGATGTGAGTTTATGCAAACACCTTGTCAAACACCAGAAGCGGCAATGAAAGTAATGATGGGGAACAAGAGAAAAGAGTAGAACAGAAATCCTGTCAGAGACAGGAGCAGAGCTTTTTCAAGGTATGCGTGCTTGGAAGAAATGCGTCAGCGAGTTAAATGCTGAACAAAATAAAGTCAAAGGACTATGGATGCTGGAAATCGGAAACAAAAACAGAAATTGCTGGAGAAAATCAGTAGGTCTGGCAGCATCTGTGGAGAGAAAACAGAGTTAATGTTTTGAGTCCAGTGACCTTTCTTCAGAATGCAGTTGCTGGCTGATATTTGGTGCCGGGGGATCTTCAAAACAGTTAGATTGAAAGGCGAAAGCCTCTCCAGCCGGCTAGCACTTCAGATCACACATACCCCAGGCTCCTTCCATACTATCTTATGACCACTCGTACCTCCCACCTGCCACTCATATGCCTCTGCCATGCCATGCCCCTCGACTTGTGCCCCCAGTCTGTCATGTCCTAGACATGCCAGGCTGCAGCACACATTCATCCACTATGAACAATATAGAAGCAATTAACCCTGTAGTGACAGGCGTACGTGTAAAAAATACCTTTAAAAAGTCATCAATGAATAACTTTCCATTAAGTTAAATAAAAAAAGCCTTCTTACTTTGGCAAAATATGATGTAATCACACCATTCAAAGTTTCAATATGTAATGAGGCTAAATTATTTTACCATTCTCCCATTTTCTTTTCCAGTTTGTTGATGTCTCTAAGAAATATATCTGCAATAATAGCTGGTGTCAATTTATTATGATTTAATTATTTTAGTCAAAATAGTTCAAGTGTAATAATTGGATAATGTTTGAAATGAAAAGCTATGAAAATGACCAAGAGAAACCAAGATAATATTAGATTAATTATTGGTGATGTAGTTTGAGGATAAATTTTAAAAATTTTATTATGAAACAGTGACAATGTTGATGTGCTTATTTTAAATATTGCCTCCATTTCTTTAAAAGCTAAAACTCCATCCTAGATACAGTGGAAATACTTGTGGACTTTGTGGACAATTTGAAAAGAAAGGGAGAAGCTCTGCCCAAATAAAAATCGGTGAGAATGAGCACTTAATTTTAAATAAACTTTCATTTTCCTACTCTTTTAAACTTATTTTCTAATATCTAAGGTACAGAATGTGTATTTTTTCACTTCCATGTAACTTTGTGATCACCTCTCCCAGTTGGTTACCAACTTCCTGAGGTGGGGCTTCTTCAAGGGTGGGACAGAATTCCCACCTCTAGCTGAATAAACGTCTATGGGGCTGCTGACATCAACAGGGGCTTATTCCCGGTCAACCCTTCTGATGACAGGGTGCAACCATTGGAAAAATACTGTTTTTGGTGAATTAAAGAAGCAAATAGCTCAGAAGAAATATGCAGTCTTAGTGATAGAGAAGGTTTATTTACTGAACTAGGTACCAAATAGCATGCTGAAGTTATCGACGCTGAAGAGCAACGGACTCACGGAAGAAGCACAACAGACCGTCAGAGAGACGACACTGAGCAAAAAAGGTAAGTGGAACATGTTCAACACAGGAGAGAGGAAAGCCCTGGAAAGACTCAAGAAAGATAGGAACATTGTAATCTTACCAGTGGACAAAGGACGCATGACAGTAATCCATCCACTCATCCCAAGAATTCCTGAACATGATCAAGGACACCAGGATAGAAGAGGACGAGATAATGATATCCTTTGACACAACAGCACTATTTACATCCACACACATCAACCTAGCCAAAGAGACACAAAAATTGCCACACTACTGGACGAATCAAGTAGGCAGGCAACCCGGGACACCAACATCATCAATAAGGACACCAACATGAAACTACTAGATCTGTGCTTCACAACCCACTTCACCTTCAATGACAGCATATACAAACAAATCAATGGAACACCAATGGGATCCCCGATATCAGGACTGATTGCAGAAGCAGTAATGCAAAGGTTAGAATGGACAGCGCTCCCCACTATACAGCCCAAACTTTGGGTGCAATATGTCGATGATTATTTGTGATTATTAAACGCACAAAACCAGAAGAAACCTGCTGACACATAAACAGCATCTTTACTGGGATAAAATTCATGAAAGAATAAGAAAACAACAACCGACTACCCTTTCTGGATGTAAAGGCAAAGACAACGGGGAACTGCAGACCAGTGTATATAGAAAGACCATGTATATGGACCAGATACTCAATTCCACTTGCAACCACCCCAACACCCACAAACAGAGCTGCATCAGGACACTGTTTAAATGAGCTACAACACATTGCAGCAACCCGGAACAATGCAAAACAGAACAGGAACACCTATATGGAGTCTTCAAAAGGAACGAAAAGTACGATCTGCCATTACCTCCGAGACAGACCACAACAGGAAGACTCAACACAGCCAGACACACTAATCCCCCTACTGTACATCAAAGACATTTCAGAGATGACCACAAGACTACTCAGACCCCTAGCCCACAAACCAACAACCACCCTACGACAGCTACTGACGAACGTAAAAGATCCCATACCCAGAACCACCAAAACTGGGGTAATATACAAAATACCACACAAAATACCACACAAGGACTGTGAGAAACACGACATAGGCCAGACCAGAAGAAAAGTGACAATACGGATACGTGAACACCAACTAGTCACCAAGAGTCACAACCAATTCTCACTTGTCTCACTACACACAGACAATGAGGGACACGAATTCGACTGGAACAACACGTCGATAATTGCACAAGCCAAACAGAGACATGCCAGGGAATTCCTGGAGGCCTGGTATTCTAACTGGAACTCTATAACAAACACATTGAACTTGACTCTGTGTACAAACCACTGAGGAACACAACTGGAAGTGGAACAAACACCCCAACAAACTGAGGCATATAAATAACAAGTGGGACAGAACACCAATGCTTCACTGGAGGCACACTGACAATGTTATCTAGCAGGGTGGCAAAACGTTTGCAACCAAACCCATCGGCTCATTGTGAATGTCTACAGCCTCATCCACAACCTGAGCTACAAATCTTCTTGAAAACTTTGAAGTTACCAGCAGCCTAGTTTAACCTGAAACAGTCAGGGAGTTGATAGAATGGTGGTGATGGGATGGGGACAGGGATGATGGGGCAAGGTTGATTCTGTTGATCCAGTGGGTGACATTAATTTGCTTACTTGAGCACTAAGCACAGTCCTATTCCATGTGTTACAGAAAGCAGACGTAGCAGAAAAGACACAATAAAAAATTATCACAAAGAAGGTATTGAAGGGAATGAACAGGCTGGTACCCTTTACACCAGAAAAGGCTGAAAGGTTGCTTAATGGGTACTGTTTTTAAGGCAATGGAATGTTTTAATCGAGTATATTTGGACAATATGGATGATATCTATGGAAGCTCATTAGAACGGGAAACACAATGGGTGGAGCTGGGAAATAATGTAGAAGGGTTCACATCAGAGTCTTGATAGTAGGAAACAAGTAATTAAATGTGACATAGGAGAGTTGTGATACACCAACAAATGATGTTAAGCCAGTAGACAAACATTTATTGAGGCTATTTGCCAGCTCAAATGCCTCCAACTTGGTCAGGTTTAATGTCTGGGATGGCCATTCTTCTTCCTTTCACTGTTGTAGGTCCTGTTTTCTGTCATGCAGAAGGAGAAAGCCTTCTTTGAATCCTTCCTTTTCAATGGTTTACTATGTCCATACATTCATCCTAAACATACTCTCTTCAGCGATGAACAATCCAAAGAGCAAGGTGCAGAAACCTATGGCTCACATAGAGCCTATAACCTCCAGGCCACTGATGAGGAGGCACAATCAAAATGTGACTGCCTGCTAATCCTTTCACAACTTGTAAGCCACCTGTTCAGGTCCAGCTTTCTTCCACAAGGCACATCAATCAGACACCACCATTGTAGTATGGAATAGGTCCTACACCCTCTTCCCAGTCTCATTGCAGCTCACCTTTACTGTGACCTCTACTTAGGGCTGCTGCATTAGTCGGGAGGAGCTCTCCTTTCCATCAGCCTGGAAATACACATTCTAAATTCCTAAAAACTCTAGAGGATGTCATGTGAGGAGGATCATTAAACTGAATCATTATGCTTTTCTCTGTGTCGTCTGCATCATCCCTTCTTTTTCGCATTCTGTAGCTTCTGTTTTCAACGTTTTTTCTTCAATGATGTGGGAGCTTTGAAATCTTCAGTTCCTTACTAAGTATCCATTTGTGTCCATGCCTGTAGACTGCTGTTCTAAGCTTCCAGCCTCAGTGGCTTTCTTTCTTTCTGAGAAATTGGAGGTCTGAAAATATAGCAGGTTGCCATTTAAAAATAGTACAACTCCTGTCCTTCTATCACCTGGTGTTGTATTCTCATATTAAATCCCACCTCCCTCATCTAATTAGACAGGCCCTACCCACCGCTTATTCTAATCATCTGGCAGTGTGATTGCTGTCATACTCCACACCAAGCAGGAGAGTCTGATTGATTGACATTTACGCTTGTGGAAGAAAGAAATGTCACACATTATCACTGGTGGGCTCTTCCTAAGCCTCTTGGGAAATCCACCAACTTCCCTGTCTGCCAGAGGGACTCATGTTGCTTGAGTTAAATTGCCCCAGATGTTTCCACATGTGGGGAAGAGCAAAATTAAAGGCTTTAAACAGCAAAAATGAATCAAGACTTGTCATAGACAGTACCAAATGAAAATAGCCTAAACAAACTTAAGGCGAAGCCAGGTAAAGGCATGAAGGCGCAATGTCATGTTGACCTGATGAGCAATAGTTAAATTTTGCTGCAAAGTGATTTTGTCTTGAGTGTTTCTAAAATCTCAATGTGCAAATATAAATTGTATCTGATCTTTAAATGATACAATATTGGCTTGATGGTAGTAGACAAAGAGGGTGGTGATAGAGGATTGTTGTTTGGACTGAAGGCCTGAGAGCTCAGGTATCACAAGGATCAGTGGTGGGTTCACTACTTTTCATCAGGTATATAAAGGATTTAGATGAGAACATAGGAGGCATGGTTAATAAGTTTGCAGATGACACCAAAATTGGTGTTATAGTGGACAGTAAAGAAGATTATCATAGAATCATAGAATCCCTACAGTGTGGAAACAGGCCCTTCGGCCCAATAAGTCTATACCGACCTTCAGAGCATCCCAACCAGACTCATCCCCCTATAACCCACCTAATCTACACATCCCTGAACACTAAGGGCAATTTAGCATGGCCAATCCACATAGCCTGCACAAGTTTGGACACTGGGAGGAAACCGGAGCACCCGGAGGAAACCACGCAGACATGGGGAGAATGTGCAAACTCTACACAGACAGTCACCCGAGGGTGGAATCAAACCCAGGTCCCTGGTGCTGAAAGGCAGCAGTGCTAACCACTGAGGCATCATGCCGCCCATTGTAAGAATACAATGAGATGTTGATCAGCTGGGCTAAGGGGCCAAGGTGTGGTAGATGGAATTTAATTCAGATAAATGTGAGGTGTTGCATTTTGATAAGAGAAACCAGGGCAGGACTTGCAAAGTTAATGGCAGAGCTCTGGGGAGTGTTGTCAAAAAGAGAGATCTGGAGGTGCAGATACATAGCTCCTTGAAAGTGGCATCACAGGTAAACAGGGTGGTAAAGATAGCACTGGCACCCTTGCCTTCATTGGTCAGAACATTGAACATAAGTTGAGAATTGACCTTATGGAGGTGTATAAAATCATGAGAGGCATAAGTAATGTTAATAACAGAAATCTTTTCCCCAGGGTAAAGGAGTCTAAAACTAGAGGGCATGGATCAAGCTGAGAGGGAAAGAATTAAGAGTGATGTGAGGGGCAACTTTTTCACACAGAGGATAGTGTGCATACAGAACAAACTGCCAGAGGAAGTGGTAGAAGCAGGTACAATTACAGCATTTAAAAGGCATTTGGACAGGTGCATGAATGGGAAAGGTTTAGTGGAATATGGGCCAAACACAGGCGAATGGGACCAGTTCAGTTTAGCAAACCTGGTAGACGTGGATGAGTTGAACTAAAAGGTATGTTTCTGTGCTGTATAACTCTATGATTTTAAATTCAAGTTCACTGAAAGATTGGTTACATATGTATTAATATATTGTAAAAACATGGAGTGTCACCTTTTCCTTTTGTTCCAGTTGATGCTATTGCAATCCGTCAGCACTCAGTTTCAAGTGATACCTGTTCCGTCACAATACCTGAAGATGAAAGGTGTCAAGATGTCTCTGTAAGTTATTTATTTTCAGGGAATAGTGAATTATTGCAAATACAAATGAATTCACTGCAACTTAATCCCGACCATTGTATTTATCCATATTTATAAATAAATGTTTTACTTTTATTGGATTGTGGGACAGAAGTTGAACAGATAATAACAAATGAAATATATTCCTAGAGTTGAAGAACTATGATTGATGCTTTTTGTGTAAGAAATAAGAGCAGCAGTGAGCAATTCAGCTGTCAATCCTCCTACACTATTCCATGTTAACATGACTGAATTGTATATCAACTCTATTTTCTCATCATATTCTCAATTCCTTGGCTTTCGCGAATAGATAATCAATCTAAGCCTTGATAGTATTTAATGATGGAGGACTACAGCTTCCTGGAATAGAGACCAAAAATTCATAAATCTGCATGATTAGATTTCTCATCACCTCATTGCTGCATGACCTAATTTGTTATCTGTAGTGTTCTAGTATCACCAGCCAGGACCCAGGGCCCCTTAGAACATGCCTTCTCAAGGTCTCCTAAAAAAAATACATTTCAATGAGATCACAGAATTCCACAGAATATGAGATCATACTACTCAGTATCTTATCTCTGGAATTAACCTGATGCACCTCTGTTGCATTCTTCAAAGGCAATTGTAGCCTTCTTTAGGTAAGGACATCAAAATGGCAGACAATATTTCAAATGTGGTATCACCTACATAACTGAGGCAATAATTGTAAAACTGACATTGCAGCTTAACAACAGTGTATGGAATCATCATAATTTTTATTTCCATCAAAGGCATTAGAATGGGCAGTTGCTGCACAAGTCATTTTATATCAAGTGTATCCCAAATTTTCTGCCAGCACTGAAGTTGTATCTGGTCTGTGGCCACTTTTGAAAATTGAACTGAAAATATTAATAATCAGTTCTATGCTGAACTTTTCTTTCCCCTTTATATAAACAGACTTCTGAGTATGAGTATAAATGTTTTTAAATCCTGACTAAATGCATATGCCTCTCTTTGGAAAACTTGAAATCACTTGGTGACTATTTTTAGACCTGATGCAAAGGGTGTATTTGCTTACATAAGTTTAATTAACATAATAACTGTTGGTTTCATTGCTTAAAACTGGAATGATGGCCTTGCATTTTGTAATTTTGTCTATTTCTTTTTGTCAGAGGTGCCTGAGGGCCTTCTCAACTTATTTTGCCAGTTGCGACGATTTCCATGCCTATTTCAGAATTTGTGCAAAGGATGTCTGCTCTTCAAATAATGACCAGGCCCATTGTGATACTTTAACACAATTTGCACAACTGTGTCCAGTGGGAAAAAGTGATTGGAGGAGTGCTGAAAAATGTGGTATGTTTTCCTGTATATTTAAAAATGAAACAACAGTTTAAGGTGAAATTAATTTCATTTTTAGACAGAACAGTGGTATTAACGTAAAAGCAAAGTACTGCATATGTGGATAATCTGAAATAAAAGCGTTGAATAAGGGAAATACTCAGCAACTCAGGCACCCTGTGGAGAGACACAAAAATCAGCTAAATTTCAGTTTTACAGAATATGGTTGAGAGTTTCTCTCCATGAGCTTCAGTGAGTAATCTCACACTGTTCTCTATAGCTTGCCAAATTAGCTCTGCATTATGCCTCTATGTGCCATGCCTCTTTTTGAGGCAGTGATGAGGGTGATCGATATGGGTAGAGCAGTGGATGTTGTTTACATGGATTTTAGTAAGGCTTTCAACAAGGTCCCTCATGGTAGGCTCTTTGAGAAGTTTAATGGGATTCAAGGTGACTTAGCCATTTGATTTCAGAATTGACTTGCCCAAAGAAGACAGAGGGTAACGGTGGAAAGGTGTTTTTCTGGCTGGAGATCCATGACTAGTGGTGTTCCATAGGGAACCGTGCTGGGACCTCTGCTGTTTGTGATTTATATAAATGACTTGGATGAAAACGTAGATGGGTGGGTTAGTAAGTTTGCAGATGACACAATGATCTGGGGAGTTGCGGATAGTGTATAAGGTTATCAAAGGACACAGCAGGATATAGATCAGTTGTAGATATGGGTTGAGAAACGGCAGATGGAGTTTAATCTGGGCAAGTGTGAGGTGTTGCACTTTGGGAGATCAAACGTTAAGGGAAAATATTCAGTTAATGACAGGACCCTTATCAGTAATGCTATACAGAGTGATCTTGGGGTCCTAGTCCATAGCTCCCTGAAAGTGGCCACACAAGTAGATAGCATGGTAAAGAAGGCGTATGACATGTTTGCCTTTATTGGTTGGGGCATTGAGTAAAAGAGTCAGGAAGCGATGTTGCAGCTTTATAAAAGTTTTGTCAGATGCACTTAAGGTATTGCATTCAATTCTGGTCACCACACTGCAGGAAGGATGTGGAGGCTTTGGAGAGGGTGCAGAAGGCATTTACCAGTGTGCTGCCTGCATCAGAGGTTATGAGCTATAAGGAGAAGCTGGACAGACTTAGTTGTTTTCTCTGCAACAGTAGAGGTTGAGGGGAGACCTGACAGAAGTTTTTAAGATTATGAGAGGAATAGATAGGGTTGACTGTCAGAATCTTTTCCCTGGAGTTGAAATGTCTAATACTAGAGGGCATGCATTTTAGAGGGGGAAAGTTCAAAGGAGATGTGAGATGGAAGTCTTTCACACAGACTGGTTGGAGTCTGGAATGTGCTGCAGAGGGTAGTGGTGAAGGCAGATACATTTAGGGGCTTTTAGAAAAGCAAATGAATAAGCACGGCATGGAAGGATATGGGCCATTGGCAGGCAGAAGGGATTAGTTTAATTTAGCATCATGTTCGGCACAATGTTGTGGGCTGAAGGGCCTGTTCCTGTGTTGTACTGTTCTATATTCTATGTTCTTATGTACCCTGCTGCACTATCCAGTATGCAGCAATGGCTGACATACTTGCTAGTACCAGAGCATCCCATGATTGCTGGTGCCAGTGACATTTTTAAAGCCTAGCTGAGCACAACCTCGAGCAATGGGTGCATGAAGTAAGAGGGAAATAAATAAAACCTTCTAAGAACACATAGGTGGCCTCGCTGACTCTTCATTGCAAATACAAGTTCACATTCATTAATGCTTTGCATTTATACATCATCATCTGTCTGATCAATAATCATTGTAACTGCAGCTACAAGAACCAAGCTACACAGGTTACCTGTCTTTAGTATCCTCCCATCTTAAAATTTTGTCTTAGCGTACTCTTTCCTAAAGCCCACAGTGGAGAATTACATTATTTTATTGTTCAATGTGAGTGCATTGTATACTGGAAAGCCTTTAAACTATTGACAACATACACTTTTATTTAACAACAGCAAAAGTTGAGGTGATGGCCTGGTGGTATTATTGCCGGACTGTTAATGCAGAAATCCAGGTAATGCTCTGGGGGACCTGGTTTCACACCCCACCGTGGCAGATGGTGCAATTTGAATTCAACAAAAATCTAAAGATGACCATAAAACCGTTATCAGTTGTTGGAAAAACCCATCTAGTTCACCAATGCCCTTTGGGGAAAGAAATTGCCATCCTGACTTAGTCTGGCCTATAAGTGACTGCAGACCTACAGCAATGTGGTTGACTCTTAACTGCCCTCTGGGCAATTAGGGATGGCAATAAATGCTGCCTAGCCAGTGATGCTCACTTACCATAAATGAATAAAAAGAAACTTAAGCTAAAACCAATCAAAGCAAAGCTGCATTTGCTTCTGGGAACATATAAGAATTGCTTGCCTTTCAAGCAGCATAAATTTACAGTCAATGAGTATCACTGCACCCAGCTCATGTCTAATGAAACCCAGTTTCAAGTAAGTCCTAGCTGGCTTGTTGTATCTGATGCTGCACTGCTGTTACATGTTGAAGGTGCTGTTCCCTTTGCTCAGTGTCTTCGTCATCCTTTTACGAAGACCGCTCCTGTTTTCGAAGCTTCTCAGTGGAGCACAGCATACTGAGATAATGCAGCATTCACTGTCTGGACTGTACTCCAAGCTCCCTGCAGGCAGATCCAAGCAGTGGAACATCATCATCAGCAGGGCTATCAAACTCTCCATGGCCCTACTTGAAGAATTATATCTACACTTGACCTTAGCCAGTGTGTTGTGTAACGGGGTCTTCAGCCCTGGTTGCTAAGGGTAGCTCTTACCTGCCTGCAGCCATTATTGTAATGCACTCAGCCCTTAGAGTGGAGCAGGAACTTGACACATCAAGGATGGTTCTGTATGACAGCACCTGGTGCAGGCTTTTAAGATGTGGTACTGGTGATCACAGGTGACTTTCACATTGATGGAATAGAATGATTTTCTATTGATTAACTCAGCTGCATTATGGTATGGCCTTCTCAATGTGATGTAATTACAGTCTATAGTATGGGGAAACCAACGATGTTGGCAAAGTCGAGCTCCTAGGCTGCATCACTTACCTCATTATGGACAAATGAGATATAGTGGTGTGATCTGGCACACATTGCATCAGTAACAGCTTTGACACAGTTGTGGGTTGAGGATGAAGAGGTTCTACACAAATGGATCCTTGGAAAGAGTTATTTGTATAACTGTTTCCTGCAGTTGTTCTCTTGATGGTCACTGGGACAGGTTGTCTACCACGCCTTCAGGTCACAGATCCCACTCCAGCAGTTGGCATAGTTCAATGCCAGTGTCCTGGGACATTGTCACTCTGAGGTGGCACAGCCCCTCAGTCATCCGGAAAAAATGGCTTTGAGGATGATAGTCTCTGGACCTCCTGTATCTCCGTCACATCAGGATGGGACTGTCAACTGCAACTTCTAAAATATCGTGGCTGTTCGGTAGCTGCTGGAGGTTGGTCCTGGTCCTGGGCTTGTTAACACATCTGATTCCTGTCCGTTCTCTGCATCTTCGTACACAGAGTCCAATGTAATGATAATCACGCGATAGCTGATGCAGTTGTGAGAGTTTCAATGAACCTGTATGAGGAAATATCAGAAATAGGACAGGTCCTTAGTTATGTGAGCAGTCACAGATGAATGACAGTTCACTATTATCCTCTACACAGTGGGACATCAAGGTTTCCAACAAGGAGGGCCATGGATTGCCTCTACATAGACCTACACACAGATTCCTTATTCAATGAATGTTGCATAAGCCATGTGTACAAATAAAGTAGGGGATTGTAAGTGTTGTATGATAATTGATGCCTTGTCCCCTAACATCTCCCACCCATCCCCAAACACCTTAGGAATACTTATAGTTCAACGTGAAATGAAATTAGCTCTGTGTTCATGTGAAGCCACTGAAATCCTGGATTTTCTTGGTGAATAGTAGCCCATGGGTACCACTTTTAATGTTGCCTGTGATAAATTCTGCTTCACAGAGATGATAATCTTCAACCTGCAAAGATTGCTTGTGCCCAGGATTTTTATCCCACACAGTTTGATACTGCGTGTATTTCACATGCAGGGGATGATGATCAACTTTACTGTGAAAGTGACGGATTAATGCAATTACCCCTTGAAAGGTTCAGTCACAAGCAGAGCCCACATACTCAGAGTTTAAAAAAAACTTTCTCCTCAATATCTAGGTGTGGTTGCAGCCAGTTTCTGTCTTCATTGTGAATTTACATTTTGCATCAGTTATAGAAGGCAACACAGTTTTCTCATAGTAGGGTGAGTCACAGATACAGCCTTATCATCAAGTGCTGCTCCCATTCCCCCATCCCCAAACTCCTAAAACTTCCATGTTCCTTGCACTTCCTATTGGCCCATAATTATTGAGCTTCCACATATTCCCACAGAGCTCTCTCAGATATGGCATCATCTCATGGGTTCACCTTTACAATCCCTTTTGATTATGAGTTGATCAACGTTACTCCAAGCCTTAGTCCTACAGTTTAGACATGCCAACCATTAAGCTCCACTGCCCCTGTCAAAGCTGATTGTGACTGTTTATGACTCCTCATCCCCCTTTGTAACTCATGGTATGTGTTCATTGCCAATATCTGTGCATACGGTGCTGGGACAGTCACTGCCCGTACAGCATGCCCTGAGATGTAAATGAGTTTTGTTTAAGTTGGATGGCCAGAGAAGTAAGCTCTATGCTCACGTGCCTAGGTACTCTCTCTGACCTCCATGTTGGAAAATTGTCACCATCTAGTTTCTCTCCAGCATGAAGAAAAATATGAAACTGCATATCAATGAGGCTAGATTAAGTACTCATAGCATGCAAATTGAAGCCAATAGGCCTCTAATTGATGATTAGCAAGATTCTTGTCGGTTGTTCAAAACTTTGTTGTAGAATTGGATTAGTTTCTCTAGCTTTTGGGAGTCTCATTTCTGCTAATCTCACTGCAGGTCTTTGACGTGAAATGTTAACTCTGCTTCCCTCCGATGATATTTAAGCATCATTACTCACTGTAACATTGAATGTGAAATGCATACCTTCTCTTTTCCAGAACAACCTGTTTGTCCTGAGAATCAGATTTACAGGGAATGTGGTTCAGACATTACTCCAACATGTACTAATCCAAAGCCTCAACAGAAAAAAGACATTTGTGTAACCACCTGTGAATGCCAACCAGGTAAACCATATTTTATAAAATACAGACAGATTCATTTGTATAATATTATATGGATTATGCCAGCCTCCTGTGGTATTGTATTGACATTTACAGTTGAGATGCATTTGAATGTTTTGAATACTGAGGTAGTGATTTCAGGCAGTGGGATGTGTGATATGCCAACAGAGGGAAAGGAGAGCAAGGATAGAATTTTGGAGGAATAAAGGAAAGAGGCTTGTGTCATTCAGCTATTATGAAGAAATGGGACCAATAAAATAAGAAATTCTATGGCCAGTAAATGTAGTTAGAGAGGGAATCAATGTAAACTCAAAAGGCATTGAGGTAGCGGTAACCAGTAGGGGTGAAAAGGAGGTATTGGGGATTTAAGGGTGCTTGTGGATGGTCAGGAGTGAGAAGATTGTGGACTAACATCTCGATCATTGGAGATGGTCTGTGGTGCCTAGAGTTTTCGAAGTGTAGGGGAGGGTTTGAAATAAAACTTTTATGTGGTCATTGTTGTACTGATGCTGTATATAGGATTGCAAAGTGATGTGGCCAAAACTTTGCTTAGAATGGTGGTTAGGTTGAAGACCGAAACTTCACAAAGATTAAGGACAAAGTACATCTTTGCTGGAGGATGGGGGTGGGGATTTAAGGGTGCTTGAGAACTAAACAGTTAAACCATGGGTTTCTCATGGGTTTATTCATATGAATACTTACATTTTTGTTATTTAATAGTTTAAAGTGCAAATGCGCGCAATAATGGCCCCTTGTACACCACTTGTGTATCTGCTGTGCCATGTTGTGAATTATTTGAAATGCTCATTTAGATTATTTAGTGATCAAAGACGATATCCAATGACATCATTAGATCATCACGTCCAAACGGGGGAGTAGCATTTTACAAGAAAATAAAACTCCAATATAACATTGTTCTATCAATCAAAGCAATGGATTTGAAATATTTGCCCATCCTAGCAAGGAATCATACAATCATAGATTGGTTATAGCAGAGAACAAAACCATTTGGCCTGTTACATCCATGCTGGTTCTCTGGAAGATCAATTTGCATAATGTCTATCCCTTCCCTTTCTCCACATCCCTGTATTTTTTTTTCTTTTCAGAGGCTAAATACGTATTTTCCTGTTTGTCTTAGGATAGCCCTATTCTTGCATTTACAGTGCATCATTGCTCAGATATCGTCTATGTACTTACCCAGAGACAATCAGTTTGATAAACTTTTAGCTGCCTCATTGTAAATCAATTAATTTGTGAGTCATAGTACTGCTTGTGAATGTTACCATCCTAAGGATGAAATGCAATCGGTTGCACCAAATTTAAAAGCAGTACTGTTGTCCCCAACCATTACAGAAATGTTTGTCTCTATAGTTAATTGCTATGTGATTAGCTGATTGCCCAACTTAAAATTTTTCACAATAGCTTTCTAAACACTAATGATTGAAAAGGTTCCTGAGGCATGTTGTTCATTTCATGGATATTTTTCTCATGACAAAAGATCTGAAATTAAAAGGAAAATGTTAGACCATCTGGCCAATTGAGTCTGTCCCCATACAGACACGCGCACACGCGCACACGCGCACACATGCACACACACATACACACATACACTTCACCCAGCCTGGACAGCAGTATGGGTGTGCCTTCGCCGTTCTTATGAATGACATAAGAACTCTCACCAAGTTCAAGAAGACAGCTCATAACTACTTGTTAATGAGCAATTAGAGATGAGCAGTAAATACTGGCCCAGTTAACAATGTCCAAATCACTTGAAAGCTGTGACCTCTTGCTAATTTAGGAAAAATCTGGGGAAATTCCTCTCTGTGTCACTAAGTCAATGGCTTATTACCATCCCAGCCAATTACCAAATTACCTTCTATAGCTATCTTTCGCCAAACCAATTTGAAAATGCGAGCCTTGACACAGCACCAAGAATCCAGTTCTTGTTAAGAGCCTCCATCACATCAAGATTTTTGACATTACAGTTTAAAATGAAAACTTTGCATTAGTTGAGAAACTCGGGCATTTATATTTTTCTTCTATTTCAGGCACAGTTCTTGATGATATAAGAGGCACCAACAAATGCATCAGCAACTCAACTTGTCCGTGTGTATACAGTGGAATGATATATGATAGTGGAGACAGAAGGAACACATCCTGCCAGACATGGTAATGGCTCCTAATTTAGCTCATACAGTAATTTAGCTCATACTTGTACATTCATCAACTGTCAAATACTTCACTGATATCATTTATCTCCTTTCTTATTTAGTGTCTGCAATGGTGGACTATGGGAGTGCTCTCATCATAGCTGTCCCAGCAGGTGTAAAGTAGAAGGAACACACATCACAACATTCGATAGGAAATATTATAATTTGAGGGGGGATTGCACATACTATGCAGTTTTTGTACGTGAGCTATTTTGTTATATTTGCGATAGTATATATCTACAATGTCTTTTCTTGTTTGGCTGGATTTTGAAGTTCCTGTTTTTAAACTCCCACAGGGAAATGCCTGGTCAGTAACTATTGAGATGCATGTGTGTCAAAAAGCAGTTGGACAGATATGTTTACGGCGTGTTTCATATTCGCAGTCTGAGGTGAGCATATGTGATTACTTTTAGTGCTCTGTTTTATTTACTGTGAATGATGTTTTGTATTAAAATATCAGATATACAACATTTATGAATATCAGGGTTTATCAAGTAATATGGAGATGGGGAAGGGGAAGTAAAAAACAATATTATTTGGTTACGATTTTCTGGAAGGGAATCTAATGATGCTTTAAAGTGCCATCATGTCCAGACAGCTTTTTAATGCATGGTTCATTTAAGTTTTACAATGGTGCACATGTGCTGTTTTTGCCAGAGGACAGTTTTGCCTGACATCTTGGTAGGCTGTTTTATGGCCACATATACATGCACTTTAATAGGAGAATTGATCAGTTGATAATCCTGTATTTTCAAAGATCATTCTTTGTTTACAATTATAACTATCCTTTGTATAAATATTATATGTAAGAAAAAGCTGTCAAATTAAACATATTATTCGCTCGCCTGTTCTATTCTTCTAACTGTTTTTAATCATGCGTGGTGAAGGCAGGTACAATTACAACATTTAAAAGGCTTCTGAATGGGTATATGAATTGGAAGGGTTTAGAGGGATATGGATCAAATGCTGGCAAATGGGACTAGGTCAGTTTGGGATATCTGGTCAGACCAACGACTTGAACCGAGAATACTCTTTTTCCATGCTGTGTAATTCTATGACTGTATTTAAATGATACTACTAACTTAATCTTTTTTTTGATTATAGGTCAGTTATGAATTCAACAATAATGGTGACATTTACTCTGGTGGAGATGAAATTAAACTTCCTCTAAAACAGGGTAAACTAAAAATTGAAGAAAATCAAATGTTTAAACATAACACTGAAATTGTTGAGTCTTAAATTAAACTAGAGTTATTTTCTTTCACAGGCGGAATAATAATATTTCAGAAATCTTCACAATTCATTCAATTTTCAACATCATTTGGGCTAACAATGCAAGTGCAGATATCTCCCACCATGCAGTTGTACATTTCGCTGCAGGAAAACCACAAAGGAACTGTAAAAGGTATGACTAAGTAATTATTTAGTGAGTACAGGTGGTGAAGGTAAAGCAGAATGCCCAATTGCAGAGTCTTTGCTAGCAGCCACTTGGATCTAGGATGTAAATTGTGAAGGCACTCATCTCCCAAACACGTGAAGTGTTCATTTTGATGAAGCTGCCAAATTTCCTAACCTGACTGATGGCATATAATATTTATTTATTTATTAACTTTGTCAGAGGAGCAAACAATAAAGCTATTTGGAGAAACTGAACTTGGTCTAGATGATATGATTCAGTTAAAAACCTCTGTTCAACCAAATCAGATCATGCCATTTTTGAGACATTTTGTAATTGTTTATTTTCCAGGCTTATGTGGCAACTTTAATGACTATGCCAGTGATGACTTCCTGTCTATACAGAATATAGTGGAACAATCAGCTGTCAATTTTGCTCATTCATGGATCATTTCTGGTGCTGTGTGTAATCCTCCAGAATCAGAAGAACCTACTTGCCTTAGTTCAGAAAAAGGTAATACTTTTTGTTTCAGATTAGACGTTCATCAGACCATAACATTAATATCTCATGCCATGGACCGTCAAACTAACATTGTTGTTCTGTTTTTTTGGATTATTCTACTGGCATGGGAGCTATGGGATTCAGTTCTAGGAAGCACCAATCAACAGTCTGTTTTGGCTGAATCCTACTCTCCACCCACTCTCCCTCCATGCCATCCTCTCTCTCCTCCCTAACTATTTACAAAGCAACTGTGTAAATACAACTCACAATGGGTTCCAGCAACTTGCTCTCAAAAGTTCAGTAGTTCCTTTCCCAATCCTTGCTTTTAAAATAACATTATTTTTACAGTTTTGGTCTATAATTAGAAATAAACAAAAATAACAAGATGAGGGCTTTAGACACATCTCCCCTTGCCCCATGAATGACATCTATGCAGTCCTCAGTAGGAATTTCCCTGTATAAGGTATTTGGAACAATGGTCAGACAAACTAATTTATACCAGGCAGATAATGCAGTGGATAAGTGTCTTTTATGTCCCTTGGTTGGAATGAAGGGAAACTGGGCCAATTGCTTCTGGCACCACAAAAATAAGTCAGTGCCTGATCAATGTTTTCTCAGAAACACAATACTTTTCAGCATGTCATGGTGGCAGCTATCTTCGCTGGTTATTGGAGAACCTGACACAGTCTGTTCAGCACTGCTGCAACTACGTTCTTGGTTAATATTGAGCCAAGGAAGGCTCATCCAATAACAAGAGTTAGTTTTAGCCTGACATGTGATGTACTTGTGACCTATTGAGATAATGCAGCAGAATAGCACTGACAGTAATATAACTCCTCATAATCATCTTATGCAGTATCATGTCCACTTCAAACAGAGAGCCAAGTGCTGAGCAGGTCCATGCTGCATATCTATTCACGTGCGCCTTGCATTTTTTTTAAACTTTTGTTTAACTACACATCATTGTTCGTTGCCCTTTTTGGACTGGACAAAATGTTACCAGTGGGTTTAAGGTCTTTGAGTCATTCTTATGTCTGCAAGGAGTTTCATACTCTCCATTTTACCAGCCTGAAATTTTTAATTCCAAGTGTTCATCCTCACCCTCTGGATATGTTTGCAATTGTGCCTGATGCTATGCATAATTATGATAACAATGCTCAGAACATTCTAAAGCCTGAAAACAATCTTTCTGGAAAACCATGTAGACTGAGGTAAAATGGCTCAAAATGCTTTGATGTCAGACTTAGCTAGTAAGTTTAGCTAAAGGGAGATGTGAAGTATTACCACAGCAATCGGAGACCATAGATATATTGATTGATTGATTTATTGTCACGTGTACCGAAGTACAGTGAAAAGCTTTGTTTATGAGAACTACAGACAAACCATTGTAGGCAAGGATGTACAGATCAAAAAGACTTAGAAAGAGGCATACAGGTTACATTGCACAGGGCATGTGCTTTGCGAGATCAACATTAGCAAGATCAGCATTATTTAAGGTTACAGAGTCTATTCATTAGTCTAATAACAGCTGGAAGAAGATGTTCCTGAATCAGCTGGTGCGTGTGTTCAGGCTTCTGTATCTTCTGCCTGAAAGAAGAAATTGTAGGAGATCATTACCGGGGTGCAATGGGTCTTCGATGATGTTGGCAGCCTTTCCGCAGCAGCGAGCCATGTAAATGGAGTCCATAGATGGAAGATTGGCTTCTGTGATGATTTGGGCTGTACACACCACCTTCTATAATTTCTTACAGTCCTGGGCAGAGCAGTTGCCATAACTGGCTGTTATGCACCCGGACAGTATGCTTTCAATTGTGCATTTGTAGAAGTTGTTGAGGGTCCTTATGGATATGCCAAATTTCTTGAGCTGCCTGAGGAAGAAGAGGTATTGTTGTGCCTTCTTGACCCTTTTTGACCATTGTATCTATGTAGGAAGTCCAGAACAGGTGGTCGGTTATTGTTGCCCTGAGGAACTTGATGCTCTTCATTCTCTCAACCTCTGTTCCGTTATGTAGATGGAGGCGTATTCTCCTCCTGTCTTTTGGAAGTCAATGATCAGTTCTTCAGTTTTGCCGACGTTGAGAGACATGTTGTTCTCATTGCACCCCATCACCAAGCCCTCTATCTCCCTTCTGTATTTTGACTTGTTGTTAATAGATATCCATCCTACTATGATGGTGTCATCAAAGCTTTATTGTGCTGTAGTAAATGAGGGTTTCGTAGGTGCGCAGATGATAAAGCAGACAGATAGAGCTTAAGCCTTATTGCTCCAGGCAGCAGATGTGCCACATTAAATATACTGGTATAGGTGTAGAGTGGCGCCTAAGGCTTCTCCTTTAGTGTGCTTAATAGTATGACAGTTTTCAGAGATATTCAGAGATATTCACCCCACAATTGTACTGAAACTGGATGACTGAATTTTTCAATTGTGTTTGACTTTTAAGTTTATTTTGTACTATCCTGAATAGAAACTGGTTTCTCACAAAATACATATGTGAAAGTAACCCACTCTAAATCTACCATGACTGTTCCTTTGCAGAAATAGTCAGAAGGGGAATTTTCAATCGACAGGTCATAACATTAGTTGATCTTCTCAAATGGTATTGATTGAGACTTCATTCACTTTCACGATTTCTGTATTATTCAGTTGCTGAAATTCTCTAAATTCAATGCAATCCATACGAGAATATAAGCAATCACATCTTTATATTATGTTGCAGAGAACTATGCAAAAGAGCATTGTGCTGAGCTGATAAACCAAAAAGGGGCTTTTGGCCCATGCCACTCTGCAGTGGATTACATCAAATACTATGCTGTAAGTGCGAATATTCTTCAAGTATACACAAATTTTTAAGAAACATTGTGAAATGAAGTTGCATTGTTTGTAATTAACATCCACCGATACAGTTAATAGGTACATAAATTAGACTGAAGATAACCACGTCTGATAATTTGGTGATAAATCAGTTGCAGTAAAATATGTAAAATGCAAAAAGGGACAAAAATCCTTTTGTAAATTAATTTAATAATTGATATATTATAAGACTACTACTGAATCATCCAGTAATACAAAGGTCCAAAATTCTTCTTGGGATGATTATTAGGAATTAAGTTAATAAAATAGTTGATTAGTAAAGGATGATGCACAATACAACTCAATGAACCTGTTATTTAATAAAATAAGACATGTAAAGATGAGGAATAAAATATTCCACTGGGCACCTCCTTTTTGTTGCAGAAAATACGTCAAAACAATGGCTCAAGTACTCATGTAACTCATATTGGGAAAGCTAAAAGGATAGGTAACTTAGGATTTAAAAGCTGAAGGTATTGTTTTGCAATTATTTCCCTCCAGTAAAGTTGCAGTTGTTGTAAAATTCCCAACAATGCAAGAAATTTAAAATAAATCTATCAATTTTTTAATGAATGAATTGCAATATAATTAGGCCTGCTTTATTTGTTGCATCACCATGTTACTCATAAAAAAAGAAATGTCACTTGCTAATCCACTACAGGAAGTATTGTTTGAGAAGAACGAAAGTCATCAGAAAGTCTAGAAAATAACAGGTAGAGAATGAAAGAACCATCTGCTTGGTCTCTCATTTACCAATATGTTTGAAGCATTTGCCTCCTTTTAAGGTATATATTGGGCTTAGTCATATAAATTAGATGCAGAATACCATTTCAATTCGAAACTCATTACAGTCTCCACTATGTGTTACGATTTTTGTGGGTCCCTGAGTAACAGGCATGCTTACAAAACACGCTGCTGTCCTGGGACCATACACTGCACGAACATGACAGCTCACCTAAGTCACCTCAGCCTGATCCAGAGCTATAGTTTGACAAATAAAAAAATTCTGAAGAAGGGTTACTGGACCCGAAACGTTAACTCTGTTTTCTCCTTCACAGATGCTGCCAGACCTGCTGAGCTTTTCCAGCAACTTTGTTTTTGTTCCTATAATTTGACAAGTTTGCCTGTTTGATGCCCAACAGCTGTCCTGGAACATTGAGCTGAGGCTGTCTTCACATTCAAGGAAGCTTCTTTGCCTGCAGCGTGGGCAGAAAATCAGTGAACTCTGTCATTTGGTTGCCTTTTTTTTAACAAATATGATTATTTGACTTCTAATGTGCTCTGGCATTGTCACCTCTAGATTTGTAAAATATGTATTATTACCAAAAAAACTAAAAATATGATTTTAATTGTGCTTTCTTTAAAGATGTGTAAGGATTCCATCTGCACTTGTCAGGATATTGATCGCTGCATTTGTGCTGCACTCGGTGCATATGTTCATGCATGTGCTGAAAGAGGGGTCATCTTGACAAAATGGACTGCAAGTGTTTGCAGTAAGTTGAGATATTTACCTTCCGTAAAACATCCACACAATTTACTGTTGGCAGAATAAGTTGCTCGGAAAACTGTATACACAAGCTCCAAATAATTGTAAGTGTATCATTCATTAAGTTTATTTATGACTAGATAGCAGGCTCATGCTGCTGTAGAATGATGTTGAGATCCAAAATCTGCAAATTTTGCTTCCATGTTTCTGCATGAGTGCATTTTACTTTGGTAGGAAGTTGTTCCATTAGAAACTTGAGAAACCATTGGAGATTTGTTTTCAATAAAATATTGCCAATCACATTTTTTGGTAGTGTAATTGGGAAGCAATCAGAGTAAAAGGTCTTATATAGGTTGATGGATAGCAGAAGTAGGAACTAACAAATTGGATACAGCACTGGAACACTTGACCAGTAAAAAAAAAACCTGAGCAGTTTTGCAGATTTTCCAGTAGATGGCAGTGTGATACAACTCAGTTAGTTCCAGTGCAAAATTCTTTTATACTGTAACTGGGCGTTGGGGCACATAATCTTTATTGTAGCCAGTGTGCTCAGTCATTTCTACATATCATAAGGAATTAAATTAAATTGCTTGATGACTGGCTTCTACAATGGAAGGGACCTCAGAAGGAGACCCAGATGGATCATTTACTGAGGACTTATGAAATTTCTTTAGTTTTCGCCACTGTTTAACTATAATCTGATGTTAGTGGTTTTTGTTTCTAGATACAACTTGCAAGAAGAGCCAGGTTTTTGACAACAACATGACGGTCTGTAACCGGACTTGCAGATCACTGGAAAAACCTGACTTCACCTGTACTGTTAAGGATGTTCCAGTTTATGGATGTGGCTGTCCTGCAGGAAAGTACATGGATGAAAGTGGACTCTGTGTTGATCGAAGAAGATGCTCATGTTACTACAGGGGCATGTATATTGCATCTGGAGAAAGTATTGATAATTGGTAAGTATAATTGTCACAGTCTGATGGAAGTTGCAACATTGAATATATGAAAAGGATTTCTTGACTTTTCTTTTTTTTCAGCTATTGCATAGATGGACGTATTTCATGTGCTCAGGTTAGCACCACTCCACAGACCCCAGGTAAATTACTTGTATCTTTTAAAGTTGTCTGCTTCTGAAATGTGAATTGGAATTTGAATGAAACAACGTTCTTCATTTTTTTCGTCCAATAGTGTGTCGTGGGGAAAAGAGATATTTTAATTGTTCAGGAGCTGGAAACTTAAATCGGAAACTTTGTGGAAAGAAATGCAGCAACTTGAATTTACCATGTGTAAGTGATATCCAAAGGTATAACCTTGTGAGAATTGTACATAACTGCATAGAATGAGGGGACATAATGCAAAGGTGAACACAAAATATAATTGAATAAGCCTTTCCAAACAATAGAAAGGATATTTTATCTGATGATAAAGATAAAAAAAAGTTTTTGATCCATTGCCAAGTCTTGCAAAGTAATATTTTATCAGATTTATTCATGCACTTTTGCATTTTCTGGTTGTTGGGGACAGAATTAGAGAAATACTGAGCACTGATATCAATCTTAGAAATAGTTGGTATGTCCTTGTGGAAGTGGAAACTATGTTTTACCAATCTGTTTAAGATTTTTTTTAATGTTGTGGGAAAGGGAAAACATGTGTGTGAAATTTATTTAATTTTTCAGGAGTTGCCATACATAATATTGTCATACAAGATAAGGAAAATGTATGAAATTGCAGTCATACATTGAACATGGAACAAGAATTTGTAGCAGAGATGATAAACACTTCATTTTTGGTTTAGGTGTAGCTAGTGGAGTGCCATAAGGTTTGGTGCTTGGGCCTCAGCTATTTGCAGTTGAAAGCAAAGATCTAAGTCAGGGACTTAGTGTAATATATACACGTTTGCTAATGATACAAATGTGGGCAAAAAGGTAAGTTGTGAACAGAACAGAAAGAAGCTGCAAAACAAAAGACTTGTTATGTGATTGGGAAAGAAGACAGCAGATGGCGTATAAAATGAGAAAATATAAAATGATACACTTTGGAAAGCAGAATAGAGAGGCAGACTATTTTTTAAATGATATAATTCTTAAATGTTGGCATGTAGAAGGCTTTATAATTTTGCAAACTCACATAGAGGCAATAGGCAGGTAAAACATGTAGTTAGGAAACTATTTGGTATGTTAGCCCTAATTGTAAGGAGCTAAATTTTAAGAGAGCACACCTGGGGTACTCTATTGTTTTGATCTTCTTATATAAGGAAATAAATAACTTCCTAGAAAGAGTGCAATGAAGGCTCATTAGATTGATTCCTGGGATAAAATATATTGTTCTTTTAGAAAAGATTGTACATAATAGGTCTATGTTGTCTGGAGTTTAGAAGAATGAGAGGTGATCTCATTGAAGTGTGTAACATTCTTAGAGATCTTGACAGGTTAGATGCTCTGAGAATCTAGGATGAGGGGTCATAGTGTCATGATAAGGAGCTGGCCATTCACATATGAGAGGAGAAGAAGTCTCTTCACTCAGAATATTGTGAATCCTGGGAATTCTGAACCACAGGGGACTGCAGATATCCAGTATATTCTAGGTTGAGACCAATGGACCTTTACACAACAAGAGAATCAAGAGATATAGATGAAAAGTGAAATTTAATCAGAAAGAAGAGTGCCACACTTGTGATACTGTGATTGGACAGCATTTGCTAAATAATACCAAGTGAGTCATAAAAATGATGACAATCAATTTAAGATTTTCAGTCAGACTCAGAGTGTGAACATTATAGGACGCACAATGTACGTACTGGTCATTGCATTTATTTAATACACAGAGCCATGTTCTTTGCAGACAGAAATAATATGCAAACATACTGCACCTATGATAACTGAAGAGATCAGGTGACAGCCATTCTCTCGTTTAATCTTCGGAGCTATGGCTTTACCAATAAACTTGCCCTGCTTATATTTAAATAAAGTTTGGCAGTTGACAGTCAGCTATCCATGACATTCTCCATGGCAGTGTTTTTACCAATCAGGGACCACTTTGTCAACCAATTAATACACTCTATTCATTTAGAATCAAAATCTTCCTCCTTTTACTTTGGTATTCTAGCAAATTGTTCTAACTTTGATGAAATGTCTTTTTTCTGTAATTTCTTCTGCTCTTCTGTTTATTAGATAATAAATTGTGCCTGTATGTACTTGAATGAGTGGGAGAGAGAAATCCATACAAAGTTATTCTTGTCTAAGTTATTTAATTATTCAAAAGTATGTATAGCCTGAGATTGGCAATACCAATGAACATATTTATATTATGAGTACATGAGTATATATCAAATAACACTTCATGTTATTTGACTTCAATTGTAATAAAAAGTGGAGTTACAGGTAGATAGGATAGTGAAGAAGGCATTTGATATGCTTGCCATTATTGGTCAGTACATTGAGTATAGGAGTTGGGACATCATGCTGTGGCTGTACAGGGCATTTGTTTGGCCACTTTTGGAGTATTGCCTGCAGTTCTGGTCTTCCTCCTGTAGGAAGGATGTTGTGAAACTAGAAAGGGTTGAGGATGTTGCCAGGATTGGAGTGTTTGAGCTATAGGGAGAGTCTGAATAGGCTGGGGCTATTTTCCCTGAGCGTTGGAGGCTGAGGGGTGACCTTATAAATGTTTATACCATCATGAGGGGCATGGATAGGATGAATAGCCAAGGTCTTTTTCCCAGGGTAGGGGAGTCCAAAACTAGAGTGTGTAGGTTTAAGATGACAGGGGAAAATATAAAAGCGATCTAAGGGGCAACTTTTTCACGCAAAGAGTGGTGAGTGTATGGAATGAGCTACCAAAGGAAGTGGTTGAGGTGGGTACGATTACAACATTTAAAAGGCATCTGGATGGGTACATGAATAGGAAGGGTTTAGAGGGATATGGGCCAAATGCTGGCAAATGAGACTAGATTTATATAGGATATCTGGTCCGCATGGATGAGTTGGACTGAGGGTCTGTTTCTGTGCTGTATGTCTCTATGACTCTAATCACTAAAGGTCTTTTCTTTAATGACAGCCAGATCAATGCATTCCTGGTTGCGTCTGTCCTGAAGGTAAAGCTGAAGATGACAGTGGAAATTGTGTTTTGCATGAAAAATGCCCTTGTTTGTTTGAAGGAGAGAGCTTTAGTGAAGGAAAAGTGATCAAGAAGGATTGCAACAAATGGTGAGATTGAATCAATGGCAAAATTTCTGAATTTACTATATTAAAAGCACCTTCGAATTCTAAAACACACTATATCTACTCTTTACTTTGTAGCACATGCCAGGGTGGAATGTGGAAATGTACTAAAAAACGATGTTCAAAGACCTGTAAGGTTTACGGTGAAGGTCATTTCACAACATTTGATGACAAAAGTTACACTTTCGAGGGGAATTGTGAATATACATTTGTTCAGGTAAATAACAATGGCTTAATCCTTGTCTTACTGTGAATCAAAATGTTGCATTTATTTGGTCAAGTATAAGTTAAGATTTTAAACTGATACTACACGTTTCTGAATATTCAAAAACACTACTTCGTGATTTTGCCCAAAACTTCAATTACAAGGTGTAGACACAAAAATAAAAGCCATATTGTCAACCAATCATACATAAAGATCTACAAAGCAGTCTGAATTTTCCCAGTCCTGCACTGGCAGTTTTTGAGGTGGCAAGAGGATTTTTGTAATTTGGAAATTTGTAACATTGCACATCATGTCGACTTCATGATACCTTACAACTCCAAACACTTTTTCCCACTGCCAGTTTCCATGCACAGTGGTCATCTGCATGACAGCATTACTAGCCCATAAAGATATATAGAAGGGCTAATTACCCCCTATTTTTGGACACATTGAAATTTTTGCAAGCAGTGCATTTTCACACCACAATCCCCACTGTCTCTGCTTCTAGAAGGTAAGAGTTGGTGAGTTCATAATGGGATGGCTGAGCCACAGTACATTTAAAGCTGTTGAAAAGCTGGCAGTGAGTGTAAAGGCTACCATACCCATAACACAGCCTTCCAATTGAGTAATGAAGCTGTGAATAGGATGTTTCTGATGGCCTTGTGTATCTTATTTTCTATTTGTTTTACTGTTTATAATGGTAGCTGCAGTATCTCCTTGCCTTTGCATCTATTTGGCTGTCAGTTGTGTTCTCCTTGTCCTCAAAGTATGGGTTGTCGAACCCAATTATGTTGTCCCTGTCCACTCTTACAAACTGGACGAGTGTAGATGTGAAGTATTAATTAACTGGTTAGTCTCCTGTAAACTGAGCTGCCCAAAATGTCCAGGCCCAGGACCATGAAATGGGCCCGATAATGGGTCCCTATAGTCCTTAGGGAATGCTTATTTTGGCATGGACACCTTTATTGAAGTAGACGTTTTAATGATTATCATGAAATTGAATGGAACACACACTCATGGATGAAGTGTGACTTCTGTATATATTTGCAATCTTTTAGAATTTGTGAGCAAGAAACTAATGAATGGGTTTAAATCACATGCATATATCATACCTAAGATGTAGAATGAGCTGTTCAGATTTTGGTGCCTTAATGGACATCAGAACAAACTAGTGCAATTATTCCAATTCCTCTGCTCCTTCTCCTTACCTCTACAAATATTTCCTCTTCAAAAGATGGATCCAATTCCTTTTTGAAAGATACTACTAAATTTTCTTCCATCAGTCTTTCAGACAATGCATTTTATAGTGATTATAACGAGGTCAGCCAGGTGGACCTTTAGGAATATGAGTTCCCTGATTGGGGTTGTTAATCTGGTCCAATCAGGGAGACCTGGCTGACAGATACAAATAGGAGTGTCAGAGGTTCTGTTCACTCAGAACTGGCTCTGAGGTAGCTGGATCAGTGTCAAGGACTTTCCACGTGTAAATAAATAGTGACTTGCTGATGAGATACAGATCTCTGTGGAGTTATTTCACATTTCTCCTCTTCAACCACTCTGATTCTTTTGCCAGTTATCTCAAATTATGAATGATAGTTTTAATAGAGCACTCTATTTTATTTTTACAAGGCCAGCAGCAAGACTTTGGCACAAGACTATGGCTGACCTCTATGGTATGGTTTTAGTGGGGTGCAAACACCAATTCTGGCCCCAGAATATCAACATGGCAGTTGTTAAGGAGTCAAGTCTCAGTGTGGGGAAGTGATGGAATGCATTTAACAGGCTCTGCTGAGTCTGGGGAGAGAGCCAAATTTTGTCTGGCAGTGACCCACCTTTTTTTAATATGGAACCAAAAGGGGCACATCTGCTTACCCCAGTTTAAGTTCAAGTAACTATTTTAAAGGCTTACTTTCTTAATTTCTGATGAGCATATTTAAGGAGACTTCTATTTGTGTGAAGATGGCATCAGGGGCATCTCTACAATGCCAAAAATAATATATAAGGAAAACTGCCAGAATCAGATTAAATTTGATCTTCACTGTATAATAAACATTACAACAGTTTATGGTTGAAATTGAATGAGTAATACACATGATCCACCAATACTAATTACTGAACTGACTGAGCTACTTATAACTGTATAGAATATGCTTTTTTTGCACTTATTTATGAAAGTTGTCTTCACTTTAGGACCACTGCAGAGGAAAGATTGGTACTTTCCAGATATTGTTTGAAAATGTTGCATGCTGTGAAGATGGAGTGACATGTTCCAGAAATATCAGAATTATATTCCAGGTATATTTTCAAATTTATAATTATTGGTTCACTATTATTTTAATAAGACTCTTAAAATACAAATTCCAATTGTGACGATTTATAAATGTAATTCATAAAGTATTCTATATTTTAAACCACTTGACTCTCATAGGATAAAGAGCTAACTTTGGAAGATGGGAAAATAAAAGGTTCTGATTCAAATTCCATATCAACATGCACAGAAGATTCCTATTCACTTCACACTGTTGGACTCTATCTAATCCTCACATTTTCAAATGGGATCACTGTGATTTGGGACAAACACACAAGACTTTCTGTAACACTGGATGAACAATGGAGGGTAAGTGTAGTTCTGGGTTAAAATATTCCCTCTTCCATATGCTCATTGATTCTTCACATTTTCTGAAAGCAGATGAATGGTCACAGAAATTGTAATCATGCAAAAAAAGTATGACATAGAGTTACTGGTCAATTAATTCACTTTGGAACAATCACCTAAATCATCACAGCTATCGTGAGAATCAACAAAAGGAAGATTATATATCTGGAAAAGTTTAGTTTAGCCAGAATATCTGTCTATGTGACTGGATAGTGTTCCAGAGTTTGGTGTCGCATGGTCAGTACATGCAACCCCGAAATATTCAGGCAGAAGTCAGTGAGCTGGCCCAAATCTACTCTTGCAGCCTTTGCCAGCCCTAAGAAAACACAGGACTATATTAGATACAAAAAAAATTTTTCTATTAATTACTTGCCTGACTCAAATTCACAGTCCCGATGACTTGGACCCTTGACTTGGACCTAAAATAATGCATGTATTTTGTTTGTTATGGAGGGAATCCAGCAATGCAACAATGTTAATAAATGCTTTCTACAAGCACATAGCGGGTTCTACCTGGCTGATTCTTGCCAGCTAAAATGTTCAAGATGCACATGGCTGATCTTCTGTTCTCCATTTCCACCTTCCTATCCCATCTTGACTTGATTCCCTCAGTGCTTAAATATATATTGAATTTACTCTTGAATATAATCAATAGGCAGAACATTCCCGTCCTTGGTATGCTGGGGCAATGGAGGGAAGATTGGGAAAACAAGGCAACATGAAAATATCAGATTCTTGCCATTGAGAAACTTTTTTCTAATTTTCCCCTTAAGCTTTACATTGTGACTTAGAATGTTGCTATTGAGCAGTGACAATTTTAATTCCACTCATTTTCACATTATTAATAGCCATATTTCTCTTATCCTTACAACACTTCCAATTCTCCTTTCTTTCTCCAAGATACCAGGTGGCACATATTCCTGATATAATTTGGAGCAGGCACCTGGAAGCTGCAGCTCACCAGTCATTGTCCTGTCCTTCATCCAACTAGTCTTCACCACCATATCCCCAGAAGCTACAGTTCACTATCCTCTTTGACCCTTCATCCACACATGTCAGCATGGGCCAAGTACCAGTCTCACCATTGTCATGCCTGCTCTCGAACCAGCTTACACATCACTTCATCCTGTCGACATTTCACTTTGGAGCTCATAGACACCAACAACTTGCATGATTTGGTCAGGTTGCTCTGAATGCAGGGACGCATGTGAACCTTTTCTTTTACACAGAACGCATCTTCTTACTCTTATCTTGATTTCTTGGTGTTCATTCACTTTGTACTTACTTGGATGCTGCCAGCCTCTGTAGCTTGCATTAATTCTTAGCAAAGAGGGAGAGACAGGCAACTTTTCACAGTGGGGAGTGCTGAACAATGAAGGAATGGACATGTTGCTGTATGGCACTGGTCTACGACAATGTCACACCTGTCGCATGTGCAAGCAGCTAATGCGGCAAGCATATTGCATGTGCTTCAAACAAATGGCTATGTCTGAAAGTTAAAGACAAGCTGCCTTTAGTGGGGTCCAGGAGGACAACTCTCAATTAGGAAATCCTACAACAATCAGTCAAGGGGCTTATCTGATTTCAGTTTGAGGCATTGGATATAGTCAGTCCTGCAGTTCAGGCACAACCTGTCTGGGGATTACAGGTAGGTCAGGCATGGTTCTTTGGAGGCATCAGTCTAAGGCTGGCCAATTTTTTCTGCAACTATATCAGCTGAGGTGAACAGCCTGAACACAGATTAATGACAGCATTACTAGCCCATAAAGATCCCAGCAATTTAATTATTTCTCAGACAAATAGTCTTCCTTTGTAAGCACATATTTCTGCTGAACAGATCAAAGCAGCTAAATTAATTTATGTTGATTTTGAGATGTCATATTACAATCCTTAACAATTGATTATTTGAAACTTTTACAATAGAACAAAGTATGTGGTCTCTGCGGAAATTTCAATGATGACACTGAAGATGATCTAACAACCAAATTTAACTCCTTGGTGAGCAGCTCTGCTGAGTTTGGAAACAGCTGGAAATCTATTCAGTCCTGCTCTGGTTCAGTGAATCAGACATTTCCATGTGAGAGAAATCCATTTTGTTCTCCATGGGCACAGAGAAAATGCTCCATAATTAAAGATCCAAATGAAGCATTTAAAAAATGTCACAACAAGGTAAGAAACTTTATTGAAAATGTATTACTATTAATTTGACTATTAGTAATGATAGATTTAAAGCTGTGAAAACAAATGATGAAGAAACAAAATTTTCACATTAGCACACTTGCATATATTTAACCATTTTCAAAATGGAGCACCCCTTACTTTCCCATCACAGATATAAAAACTGTAAGATCCTAATGTCATCACTGCAGAAGACAACTTCTATTACATTTCATAAATCACATATCTTAGAAATGGGAAGTTGTTGCCAGTGCAATTTAATAATTTGATTGCCAGCTAGGTCTCTGAATTAATTATTTTTTCTCGATTAATGTCATTCAAAGCATCTTTCCAATATGCTTTAAATGCAGTTTTACCTACCATTTTCTTTTCTTGGTAAATTTTATTTCTATCGCCAAAAACAAGGGATTAACCAAAATAATAAGACACCTGAATCAGTGAATAATGTCAAAGGTTGTTCAGGTATAGAGAACCAAGAATAAGGCACTAAACTGGTGAAGTTAAAATACAAGTAACAACAGGATATATATGGAGCTAGTAGTGTTTCCAAACAGATCAGAACCAAACAATGTTACCCACCACAACAATCCATGAATGGAATCAAAGACTAAGGGCTGGATTTTACACTCCCTATTTGGTAGGTTTGAAGTCTAAAGGCATGTAGAATTCAGTAGATAGCCTTCCCACTGCCTACTCTGCTGCCCCAGACTGTTCAGAAATTTTACCAGGCGTGAAAGTGAAACCGAGAAATGCTTGTACTCTATTTGCCTTATTAAGACAATTAATAGCCACTTAAGGGCCCAAACACGTGGCCACCAATGTTTTATCTTTGGTGGGGAAGGCCCAAACTGTGAGGGAAACCAGCAGCTTTTGTTGCTAAGGTTGGTGTTGGGCAATTGGCTTGGAACATTACTAATCTATTCAACTTGTATAAAAGAGTTGATTTTTTTACTCACTAGAATATCAATGCTTATAAATGGAGGCTTTTGGATGTAAAATAAGCATTGCAGTCAGCATTCTGTGTTTTTTAATTGTAGTATATTAAAAACTTCTTTCCTCACATTTTCTGGCACTGTTATGTCATCTTCATCAGGTTAACCCAGAACCATACCATGAAGCTTGCATTAAGGAAGCATGTGCCTGTGATATGCAGGGAAAATATCTGGGTTTCTGCACTGCTGTAGCTGTGTATGCAGAAGCTTGTAACAAAGCTGGTGTTTGTGTTCACTGGAGAACCCCTGAACGCTGTCGTAAGTCTAAATGTTTGATGTCATTGGAAATATTAACTAAATTTTTTTAATAAATGCAAAGAAATTTGTTTGCGTTGTTCTAAAGTTGCATGCTTTATCAAAGATATGTATCTGTGTGTGAAAGTCACAGATCAACTGACTATTTTTTGATATTTAATTTTGCATTACCACATTAGTATACTTTTTATTAAGGCTTCTTAATCTTCTACATCTGTTTGACTGTTGCATATGCCTAGAATGGTAAAAACTCACAGATATTCGAGTAGTTGCCTTTCATGATGTGTTATACAGACTTTGTTCAGATCGATGTGGATCAGTGAACTGCACTATGAGATAACCCCCCTGTCAAATATAATACGGTTCACTTGTGCTAATTATTTCCAATCTATTTCAAAAAGGTTTGCACGTTGATTTGAGCTGTTTCTTTGGATGTTGAATCAATTGCTGGCATTGTGTATCAACTGTTTCTATTTTACATTGCAGCTGTATATTGTGACTATTATAACAGGCCCGATGAATGCAGCTGGCATTATCAACCGTGTGGAACTTTGACAGCAAAAACATGCAGTGACCATTCAATTCGGAAAAAACTCTCCGCTGTCCTTGAAGGTTGTATTATTTCATAATTCTACTGATATTTAGGTGTGCCACAAGGCATTTCTCAAGTAGTTTAATTTGCATGTATTTAATGTAAGCACAAGTAGAAATAATTTGGCATATAAAGTTAAAAAGGACACATCAATTTTTTAAAAACTAATACTATATTTAAAATGACTCAGATCAGAAACATCTTGTTAATTTCCAGTATAGCTACAACACTGGTATCTGCCTGAGAGAATATAAAATTATACAGGTATGTCCTGTGCACAGAAACGCAGGACAAATCTAATCAGGTCAATTTCCATTTGATCAGTCAGCTCTCATTCACTTGCAGTGCTATATAGGAGCATTACACAGCAATAACCTGCTGACTGATGTTCATGTGTCTTCTGACATTCAACTTTAGGCGTCATTGCAGCTTTGGTCCGAGCATGGACAAAAGGGCTGAATTGCAAAGCTGAGATGAGTGACTGCCTGTGACTTCAAGGCAGTTTTTAATAGAGCATGCCATCAAGAAGCAGAAACAAAACTTCAAAAGAAATATTCACAATGCTAAAATTTCAGGTTTTCTGTTTTTATTAAATCAGTCGAAAAAAAAGTAGAATTATTTGGGTCACTCTAACATCATGAATGAATTAGGTATTTGCAAAATGTAAATTAATAAGTTAAACAAATAACTTAAATTGCTCGGTTGTATTTACAGGGGTAACTCACTTTGTTGGGTTTACAATAATGGACCATTAATAGAATAAAATTGTGAGAGGCAAAGTATGAAAATTATGGACCAGCTGAATTACTAATAAACCAAGCTATAGTTCCCTGTGCCATAATATCTATAAGTAATAAATATATAATAAAACCATTGATAATATGAAAATGCCATAGTAAGTTTATCTCACTCATTTTCACATTTTTCTAATGATTAGGTTGCTACCCAAAGTGCCCAGAGGGCGCTTCCTATCTGGATGAAAATACAATGAAATGTGTCAACTTGGATGAGTGCACCTGTTATTACAATGGCAAAATATATCAACCATTTGAAACCGTACCTGGCTGTGGAAACTGGTAAAGTATCCAGAAAATGTGTTTTTATTATTAGTTGGCAATGTGTCATAAAAGCAAGTGTGGGCCAAGTCTTCCAGTCTCCAGATTGTCAAAGCCTGGGCTTATGACTGAAGAAAAGTGACATGATCCTGCCTAAAATTTGAATTATTCCAAAGCCGATCCTTCTAATAAACACTTTGTGACTTTTTGACTACTTCCCTCCCAATCACTGTTACACCTCCCCATCACAGCAGCAGAATTGTACTCCAACAAAATCTGCAACTTCATGGCTCAACAATATCTTCCACTCTACCCTTGCCATCAAGCCAGGGGAGCAAGCCTGGTTCAATGAAGAGCCCGGGAGTACTCGCCAAGTATAGCACTAGGCATACCTAAAAATGCAGTCTTAACCTGGTGAGACAATAAAACTGGACTACCTACACAAAATGGATTACAGAGGTTCTAAAGGAAGCTCAGCACTATCTTCTCAGGAGCAACTAAGGATGAGTAATAAATGTTGTTCCAGCCAGAGATGCCCACATCCCTCGAATGAATAAATAGTGCCAAACAGTATAAGCAACAAGTGATAGACAGAGCTAGGTGATTTCACAATTGATGGATCAGACCTAAACTCTGCAGATCTTCCACTTCTAGTTATGAATGGAACATTTAACATTAATGAACAATTAAACAACTCAATAGAGGGGAAGGCTTCATGGATATCACAAATGCCAGTTTTCAGTCAATTCAATTCACTCCACATGATATCAAGAAATGGCTGCAGGTGTTAGATACAGCAAATGCTGTGACAACATTTTTGCAATAGTCTTATGCTCCAGAACATGCTGTAACCCTAGCCAGTACAGCTTTAACGGTAGTATCTACCCAACAATACAGAAAATGACCCAGTATTTTCCGCACATGAAAAACAGGGCAAAGTCAACTCATCCAATTAATGCCCCATCAGTCTACTCATGATTATCAGTAAAAAAAATGGAAATTGCCATGACTAATGCTATCAGACTTGTTTACCACAACCTGCTCACTGATGCTCAATTTGGGTTCCGCCAGAGCCACTCCCCTCCTGACCACATTGTAGCCTTGGTTCAATTATGGACAAAAGTGCTGAATTCCAGAGGGGAGGTGATAGCAAAGTCCACATTTGACTCAGTGGTTTAGCGAAACCATCAATGGGCATCAGTGGGAAAATTCTCCCTCTGTCAGTTAAAATTGTACTTGGACTTGATCAAATTTGACAGTGACACTAACTATTTATTATTAACATTTATTCCAAAAATTAGATGGTTAAAGTAATTTGGAATTCTGGCCAGAGTGTGTTTCATTGTAAATATTGATAAGTTGCCCTGTTTGTTCCTGTCATTTTGAATGTCTTGCCAAGTTCTTATGTGTTTCATTGCATTATAAGTACTAGATTGTCTATACTTTTAAACTCATGAACAGAATAATATTTGATTCAAAAAAGTTCAATTTCAGTTTTCATTTGCTTTGAAAAAGTAGTTTATCACTATAATGATGATACTATAAATGGAAAAATCACAGTTGGAGGATGTGAAAATTTATTTTGTTGATACCAATCAGCAGTTCATTTTATACCCTGCCTTATGTGTTTTTTTTTGAATTAAGGTCAATGCAAATATAAACAGGCAGGTTTTAAAATGATTCATTATCATTGAATCAAAGTGTTGCATGTACAGACTGTGATGCGTTGAATGCCAACTTCATTCTAAACATTTAGCGATGAGCTAAAAAGGATTTACAATTATAAAATGATTTTGATTGTGCCTTTAATCAGGAAATACTATAGATTGAAAGAAGGTGAATAAATCATGTTTGAATATTTAAATGATTTTCAGTCTTTCTTGATGGGCACAAAGAGAATGCTGGAGGAAAATAAATTGTTATTACCTTTTCTTCCACAATCCTTTCTACAGTCATGCTAACATCGCAATATCCTTGTGTATTGCCATATACTTTTTTGTTACACTAGTTACAATGCACAAGAAACTGGTACAAAGGCTAATACAAAATACTGTCAATGCTATCTGCAATTTTTAAAAAAGCTATTTTTCATTTTTCAATGTCAGGTGAAAGCAAAGGGTATTTTTATTAGTGTGAAACCATAAATGATTTTTGGTTGGTGAGTAATAGATCTGCAAAAAGTTGCATTTTTCCCTCACCAGAATGCAGAGTTGCTAGTGCAAATTTAAATGGCTTCTCCTTGTTCTATAGAATGTACCAGTCTTTAATGGGAATCTGTATTGAATATGGAAGCTATATAAGGATACGGTTTGTTAAACATTGTTTTCCTAAAATAAATCATTTGAACTTAATATTTTACAGTGTATGCAGCGAAGGAATTGTTAGATGTGGTAAGTAAACTTCATTTTTCAATAATTCATGCACAAAAGTCATGTATTATAATGGCAAATACTGTCTTCAGACACTATGGGTAAAACAATTAGGGAAATAATATTTTGAACAGCTCAGAAGCGCAGAACTGTTGTTCTATTTAGGGAAATGCTAACTAAATGACCATCTCAGCACTCTAAATATGATGAAGGGCATTAAATAGATTCCCAAGACGGTAGATCCAATTGGAGGGCTACAACACTACAGTACTAGTCGTAAAACTACAATGCCAGAAGAGGTGGAACTGCTGAAGTAGAAAGGAGTGCATGAGGGAACCTTACAATGACTCTTTCTTTGGTCTAATTAGCACCCACCACTGTCAGGAAGGTAGCTGCTGACATGTTGACCCTGATTACAGCAAGCACTCAGAGGTGAGATCTCACACAAAGAGTCAGCCTGAAACACATTTAAAATGCTGCTCCTGATCTCGAGTTCAAACCTGCCTTCACTGGGCTGGGAAGATTCTGCCTAACATTCCCCAACTTAACCCTCATATGATCTGCGAACTTTGTGCAGAACATGTGAGATGTCAAGCAGTTTATAACTCTATTTTCTAATTTAAATTTATTTTTGATGCATATTAAATGAATAATAACTTGTTTGTTTTCAAAACAAGGATAACCCTCTCTTAAGTTTTATATCCATAGTAATGATGATATTGATGATTTTGAATGCATTTTTTGACTTGCTGTTGTGACAGCAAGTCCTCTAACAAGTGTAACATTGCAGCTTCTGCTCAAAACACAGACTCTGCTTTCACATGATGTTCTCAAAAATCGTCTCTGGTTGCTCATAAAGGATATTCTCCACTAACTATTCCATTATCCAAGGAAATTTCCCAAACCATATACCTAACTAACCCTGCCCAAGAAATACAAGAAGCAAAATCATAAATTGGAAACTTATAGAGATATGTTTTTAAAAATTCAAATATCTTTCAATTTTTAACATGGCTCTGGGTAAATATGCTCAAAATTAACAGACACTTATGAGCAATGTATGAAGTGACTTCTCTTAAACCTAAGGGCCACAAACACATGACTCCACCCTCAAGTGAGTTCTAAACATTTAGGTTCACCCAGTAAGAAACTAACAGAGTATAATGAAATCTTCATCTCTCAATGTTTATTTTCCACTCAAAATAATATCTGCTGGTGTGAGAAATGGCAGCTGATCTAATTGTACCAGGCAGGTTAGTCATGTCACAGAATAAAACATGGCAGTGCCATCAGAAAGGCTGCTTACTTGTGTGGATCTCTTGTCTGTACAAGATCTCAAATAAAATACAATGTTGCTGGAATAAAGCAAACAAAAAGCAATAAATTTTATGTTGTATTATGGATAAATCGTCATGGGAATATATTATCATAAATGACAGGAACAGATTTAGAGGAAGGAAGTGACTGTACTGTAGCCAGAGGTACAGACAACACAAAATAGGTGGAAAGGCAAGTTGTCAGAAGAATACAAACAGTTTACAGAGAGATATTGAAAGGTTAACTAAATGGGCCAAAAGTTAGCAAATAGAGTACAATGTATGAAGAAGTAAAGTTGATCATTTTGGAAGGGAGAACAAAAGAACAGAATATTATTTAAATGGAGAATAACTGCAGAAAGCTGCAACACAAAGGAACTTGAGGGTACTTGTGCACAAAACACAGAAAGTTAAAACATAGATAGATGCAGCTGGTAATTAGGATGGCTGATGTAATGTTGACCCTTATTTCAAGGGGGTTGCAGTGTAAGAGTGAGGAAGTCTTACTGCGACCGTGCAAGGTACTGGAGAGACCACATTTGGAGTATTGTGAGTAGTTTCGGTCCCCTCATTTAAGGAAAGATTCCATTTCATCGAGGCAATTTAGAGAGGTTTACCAGGATGATCCCTGGTATGAAAGGATTGTCTTATGAGCAAAGGCTAAACAGGTTGGGACTCTACTCACTGGAGTTTAAAAGAATGAGAGGTCATCTCATTGAAGCATATTGGATTCTTAAAGAGCTAATCCAGGTAAATCCTGAGAGGATGTTTCCTCTCTTGAGAGAGTTTAGAACCAGAGGGCACAGTCTCAGAATAAAGACAGGCCAATTTAAGACTGAGGAGAGGAATTTCTTCTCTCAGAAGGTTGTGATTCTTTTGAACTCCTTGCCGTGAAGAGCTATTGAGAAAGAGTCCTTGTGTAGAGTTAAGGCTGAGATAAATAGATTCTTGATCAATAGGGGAATCAAGGGTTATGGGGAAAATGCAGGAAAGTGGACTGAGGAAAGTCAGATCTATCATGATTCTATTGAATAGCAGACATGAGGGGCTGACCGGCCTGCTCATGTTCCTATTTCTTATGGTCTTATGGAACACAGCTTTCTGATACAGGAATCAGTGAGTATGTGATTTAGCTTCGGGAACTGAGCCTGTTATTTTGACCTTGTCTGTTTATGGTAAGATATTCCATAATTTCTCCACCTTGATATTCCATCAATTCATGCTTCAAAAGATGAAATTCCTAACATTTGTGGCTAATATATGCACCCCTATTTCCACAACCGAGGCTTCTCTGTCCCCTCCCCTTCCCCCTTCCAGACCCAATTCCAAATCCCTCCGTCACTACACTTGACAGGAGCCTCAACTATTTCCACCACGCTTTCTGTATTTCTGCTATAACCCCTTCCCCTCCATCCCACACCATGATAAGGTTCTGCTTTATCCTTATCTTTTCTACCTCACTAGACTTTTTTGTTTGTTTGTTCTTTATTCTTGGGTAAGATAGAGGCATTGTCAGCAAGGCCAACATTTGTTACCTTTGAACTGATTCGCTCACTAGTCCATTTCAGAGGACAGTTTAATGTCAACCACATTTGCATGGTCTGGAGTCACATATGGGGCAGACCAAGTAAGGATGGCAGATTTCGCTCCCTAAAATAAATTAATGACACCTCCCCCTCCCCATCTTCCGCCTCCCCCTCTCTCCCTATTTATTTCAGAATGTCCTTCCCCTCCCCCATTTCTGAAGAAGGGTCGAGACCCGAAACGTCAGCTTTCCTGCTCCTCTGATGTTGCTTGGCCTGCTGTGTTCATCCAGCTCCACACCTTGTTATCTCTTAATGACACAAGTGATTTTATACAAAATCAACAATGGCTATATGGTAACCATTACATAGTTTTTAATTCTAAATGTTATTAAATTCAAATTTTCGCATCCACCAAGGTGAGATTCAAACCCACTTCCCCAGAACATTCACCTGGCATTTTGGATTACCAGAGTCGTCATATCATTACCAGATGACATGAGTACTATGCCTCCACCTCTTATCCAAATTCAACAAATCAGTTTCTGGAATGTGGGCATTGCTGGCAAGATCAGCATAAATTTGAGGAACAGCAACTCGCCTTTGAATCAGGTGTTGGACTCAATATTGAGCTTGACAATTTCAGATTGTAAGTCTGTTCCCCCATTTTGTTTCATTTTATTTACATGTTGCAGAAGTTTCTCTTATTTTTGCTTTCAGTCAGTAACATATCTGCTTCGGGCACAAATTCTGTTTCTTTTTTTCATTTTCTTTGCCCAGTCCCATTCACGTTGGCCCTGGAGGGCTAATTTTTCTGACAGTCAACCTCTCCTATCTTCACTTCTACCACAGACCTTCCTTTTGTCATGGTCCATCCGTTCCCTTCCTCAATCTTATACATTACTAACTTTTGCCAGTTAAAATGACAGGTCACAGGCATCAAACATTAACACTGTTCTTTCTGCAGGTAGTGACTAACCAATGACATTATTTTTCCCAGTGTTTTGTTTTCAACTCAAAATCAAGCTCTTAAAGACAAAAGAATGTCATGGAATGACCTAAAATAACTTCTCTTCTTCTCCAGAGACAGTCTTAACTCCGACTATAACAATCACCACCACTTCAACAGCTGAATAACTCTCTCTGATATTATCTATGGACTTGTGAAACCAATTCCTAGTTATAATTTTGTTTCACATTATGGTTCATATATATGTCAAGAATTTTAATTAATTTTTTACCATATTATGAAGGAAAGTGAAATAACACTTTTAAGAACGCATAAGTGAAAGAGTTGCTTTTGGAAGCAAATATTCAAAAAACAAGTATTTCCTGATGTGAATGGTACAAAACACAAGGCCTCTGGAGAATCTTGCATGAATCTCAGAATATTAAATGACATTAGGCAGATGATGGAGGAATCACTAAATATAAAATATCAAAAGACAAAGGACAAAATAGTGTCAAAGGAAGTCCCAGGAAATTGAAAGCTGGTTAGTCTTACCTTGATAATGAGCGATCTTTGAGAGCATAATGCAGGATAAAATGAATGAATAAATTGGGAAGAAACTTCCAGCACCTGAACGACATGGGCAATGGCAAGAGAGTTGGAAGAATCACATGAGATGGCCACCAAAGATCTTCCTGAGGTCAAGAGCAAAATGTCCCATTTTCTAACCAAGTGTTCAACAGTGAAATGAGATTTCTGAGCAGCATGAGGCATTAGCATGCATTAACATTTACATCATGATGTTATCTCGCATTATTGATAAGCAACTTCCCATCCTCTCAGCCTATGGAGAGAAACTAGATGCTGGCAATTCCCAATGTGAAAGTTAGGGCAGTAACTTGGTGATTCCAGCTCACCGCTTGCTCCTCCAGCTCTCCAGTACTTACCAACATTTCAGGGCACACTCCATTGGCAGTGACTCACCCCTCCCTCCCCAGTCCACTGAGACCCCCATTCCACTGCGAGGAAAGCCAGCTGCTAATTTCCCTCTGCCTGACCTCTATGTAGTAAGTGGCAGCAGATACAGGCTGGCAGTGATTGACTTGGCTATCGGCTTGTCTTCAAAGGTGGCACTGGTGCCAGGAATTGCAGGAGGTCCTGGCAGTTGCCATTACTACTATGGTGAGTTAGACAATACCCTGAACAGAGTGTCATGGTGGGGCATAGTTCGTAGGTAATGA